AACTGAGAGAGACTCTATCTCAAAAAAAGACAAAAACAAAAGATAAAAACCTTTTCCTTTATATAAATTACCCAGTCTCAGGTATTTCTTTATAGCAGCATGGGAATAGACTAATACAGGTGACTACTCATATACGGCAATGCAGGCAAGGGCACTCTGCGCTATTGGGACTCCGAGGTGAGGGTGTGATGGGAGTTTGGCAGGACTTGTTTCCCAAGACACAGGTTACAAAGACCCCACTGATGAAACAGGATGTGGCAAAGGAGCCAGCCAAAACCCACCAGAACCAAGGTGGTGATGAAAGCAGACTGGTCCTCTCACTGCCCATTATACACTAATCATAATCTGTAATTTGTCCATGTAAAGGGAACTCCCCCCAGTGCCATGACAGGTTACAAACAGCATGGCAACATCCGGAAGTTACCCTATATGGTCTAAAAAGGGGAGGAACTCTTGGTTCTGGAAATTCCCTGACCTTTTCCTGGAAAATTTATGAATAAGCCTCCCTTGTTTAGCATATGAGCAACAAACAAACATAAAAATAGCCAACGAGCAGGTCTCACGGCTGCTCTTCCATGGCATAGCCACTCTTTTATTCCTTTACTTCTTGAAGAAACTTGCTTTCACTTTACTCTGTTAACTCTTGGATTCCTTCCTGTGGGAAGCCAAGAACTCACGTGGCCTCCTGGGCTGAACCCCGATTTGGAGATGGGCTTCAGTCCAGGAGTTCGCGTCCAGCCTAAGCACATAGTGAGACCCCCATCTCTATTTTTTCTCAGACTGTGTAAGAGACAGATGAAGCAAAGTGCATAAATGGCTGTGAGGAGCATGTGGTTTGTCAAAGCTGGAACTTTGTTTACAGAGAAGTTCCAGCATTATCTGTGTGGGTGTTGCTAACAATCATAGGGTGTTCTTTAAAACTGCAGACTGGGATTAGACAATTTGCCAAAAAGCCACTGACTAGATGAAAGCAAGAATTCTGATTTCTCAATTTATCTTCAGGTTTATTACATCGCCCCCCGTGCCCTTCTCTGCATTTGCTGTATGTGAGTATGAGGAGTCCACACGATGGCAGTCTACACCAGTGGTCTAGGTTTTCCCTTACATCTCACTAGTCAAGCATGTTTGTATTCACAGAAGGAAACTTCCCCCCATTTTTGTTTTCCTGTTTTACTTTTAGTACATTTTAGGCCGTAAGAGTGTTTCTTTTTGTGTGTGTGTGAGATGGAGTCTTGCTCCATCACCCAGGCTGGAATACGGTGGCATGATCTCGACTCACTGCCACCTCCTGATCCCGATTCAAGCAATTCTCCTGCCTCAGTCTCCCCCGAAGCTGGGATTACAGGCACGCACCACCACGCATGGCTGATTATTATTTTTTTTGTATTTTTAGTAGAGACGGGGTTTCACCATGTTGGCCAGGCTGGTCTTGAAACTCCTGACCTCAGGTGATCTGCCCACCTTGGCTTCTAGAAGTGCTGGGATTACAGGCATGAGCAACCACGCCTTGTCAAGAGCGTTTTATCACACAGAAACAGAAACTGCAAATCTCAGGAGGTTCTTTGGAAGTGCAGCTCTAAAGACATACTTTTTGACCCCCGCTGTTTTCTTTTGACCAGCTTGGTTATGTGATCTGCCTTCATCATCTCTTGAAGCATTCTTTTGTGTAGGAACTGTTATAGCATTGATTGGCTTAAAGCAGATGTTCTTAAGGCTGATCTGTAGGCTGAATCCAGTGGGTGACAAGGATTTTACTGATTTGTACAAAGTAAGAAAAATAAGAACAATGCAATGAGTTTTTCATAAAGTAATTTCTTTTCTTTTCTTTTCTTTTTTTTTGAGATGGAGTTTCACTCTTGTCACCCAGGCTGAAGTGCAGTAGTATGATCTCAGCTCACTGCAACCTCCACCTCCCGGGTTCAAGTGTTTCTCCTGCTTCAGTCTCCTGAGTAGCTGGGATTATAGATGCCTGCCACCAACCTGCCTAATTTTTGTATTTTTAGTAGAGATGGGGATTCACCATGTTGGCCAGGCTGGTCTTGAACTCCTGACCTCAGGTGATCCATCCGGCTCAGCCTCCCAAAGTGCTGGGATTACAGGCATGAGCCACTGCCCCTGGCCTCATAATTTATTTTGTCACTTTAATGTATTCTGAGATTATATGCCCTCTTCTTTTGGAGTTTAAATGTCTTTTATAATAGTAGGATAATAAGGGATAGATGTTTAAGATAACCATACATATTTACTTAATAAAATCAACTCAGTGCCTAAAGTTAATGCCTAAATATTTTTGCAAATTTTGCTGCTCTGTGAAATCCAAAAGTCTAGACAACTACCATTTTAATGAATGCAACTTGAGATTTAATGTGATATAATGGATTTAACAAGATTTAATTAAATTCCATTCTGATGAGACAGGTTTTAGATAATCCAGCTCTACATATTCAGAAAAGTCAATCTACCAGCCAAGTTAATGCTTAGATCCACCACAGGGAAGCAGAAATCACTGTCCGAATAATGATCAGAGAGCCAGACTCTTAGACCTAAAGGAACTTCAGAGCCCACCTCTCATTATATAGCGGAGAAAATGGACTTGATGGTTTGTATTCCTGGTCGTGCCATTAAGTTGCTATTGCCTTGAGCTCCTGACCTCAGGTGATCTGCCCACCTTGGCCTCTCAAAGTGCCGGGATTACAGGCATGAGCACCCATGCCTCGTCAATAGCGTTTTATCACACAGAAATAGAAGCTACTCACCACAACTGCAAAGGGCCCTTCAGGTCTGAACTTCTGAAACTTAACAAATAACATTGTTAAACATAAAAAAAGAAAATAAATAAAAAGAAAAAAAGGCCAGGCGTGGTGGCTCATGCCTGTAATCCCAGCACTTTGGGAGGCCAAAGCTGGGGGACTACTTGAGGTCAGGAGTTCGAGACCAGCCTGGTCAATACGGTGAAACCCTGTCTCTAAATACACACACACACACACACACACACACACACACATTTTTTTTTAAGAGAGAGAGAAAAAAAACAAGTAACATTGTGTTTGTTTGTTTGCTTGAGACAGAGTTTCCATCTTGTTGCCCAGGTTGGAGTGCAATGTCATGATCTGGGCTCACTGCAACCTCTGCCTCCCAGGTTCAAGCCATTCTCCTGCCTCAGCCTCCTGAGTAGCTGAGATTACAGGCATGTGCCACCACGCCCAGCTAATTTTGTATTTTTAGTAGAGATGGAGTTTCTTCATGTTGGTCAGGCTGGTCTCGAACTCCTGACCTCAGGTAATCTGTCCACCTCGGCCTCCCAAAGTGCTGGGATTATAGGGATGAGCCACCACGCCCAGCCAACAAGTAATATATTAAGAAAAAGAAATGGAGCCGGGGGTGGTGACTCATGCCTGTAATCCCAACATTTTGGGAGGCCAAGGCAGGGGGATCGCCGGAGGTCAAGAGTTCCAGACCAGCCTGATCAACATGGTGAAACTCTGTCTCTATACAAAAGGTAGTCAGGTGTGGTGGCACGTGCCTGTAATTCTAGCTACTCAGGAGGCTGAGGCAGGAGAATCACTTGAACTCAGAAGGTGGAGGTTGCAGTGAGCCGAAAGTTGTTCCATTGCACTCCAGCCTGGGCGACAAGAGTGAAACTCCATCGCAAAAAGAAAAGAAAAAAATCCACCACCACCAACAAAACACCGGAAGTTATGACACGGAACACATTCTCCCTCATGGCTCTCAGAAGGGACTGACCCTACCAACAGTGATCTCAGATTTCTGACCTCCAAAACCATGAGACTACACATTTATGTGGTCTAAGCTGCTCCATCTGTGACACTATTACAGCAGTCCTAGCAAATGAACACCGATTTTTGCAAGGATTTATCCTTCAAACACCTTTTAGTGGTTACTTTGATTTTACTGAACCAAATGAAGTGGACTTCCCCAAAGCAGCCAACGACTGGAAAACTTCAAATTGTAAGGATGTGTGAACTTTGAATCTGCAGTCCAGTGATATCCTGAGCAGCAATTCCTTACACAATGTCTTTGCTAGCCAGGGTAGAAAAGAGTGCTGTGCCCTTATAAAGAAAGGACAAAGAAACAGAGAAAGTTGGATGGCCCACAGCCAGACAGGCTATTATATTGTAATAGAAGTTAAACTTAGAATGCAACGAAGAATTAGCATTCTCGACTACCTTCAGTACTTGGAGCTAGAGAGAGGTGCTTCTAATGAAGCTGGTGATGAGAAAAATGGAAAACGAGATTGTCACCTGGCGCTCGACTCTGAGATCACTTATAAGGGATCAGAGCAGAGACACGCAAGGTCACCGGAGCTAAGCAAAAGGGAAATCAGAGAGGCAAATGTTGGCATTTCCTATCCAAGCGCTGTGTAAGGAAGAATGAGTTTCAGGCACCAAACCTGAGGTATGCCCTGTTCCAAAGTTTTCTTTTTAGGTAGAGATAGATGCAGGGAGTTATGGCTGTAGGACTTCATGTATTTCTGATCCCATCAGCAAGACTCTCCCTGATGTAAGTTGAATGTACCAAGCTGTCATAGTTTGATGCCATTAGCCATGTCTCAAATTGGCCTTCTTCCTTCATGAGCACATGGTGTTCTCCTGGTGTGCCTTACTAGGTCCTGTGGCTGTGTATGAGGCATCCTTCATAGTTCAATGCCATTAATCATTCCTCTAATTGTATTCCTCTAAACTATTGGCAACCCCATGCTAACTCCGTAAGCACTGACGACCTTCAGATTATGCAAGGCTTCCACTGGGCCTTAGAGACAGAATACATTGGATTGCCCCTTGTATTAGTAGCTTGCTGGCTACTAATGACAGTAATTCCTAATACTAAACTCTCAATAAAAGCCTCTGGCTAGGTGCAGTGGTTCACACCTAAAACCCCAGCACTTTGTAGGCTGAGGCAGGATTACTTGAGGCCAGGAGTTTGAGACCAGCCTGGTCAATATAGCAAGATCACATATCTATAAAAAAGTAAAAAATTACCTGGGTGTGACAGAATATGCCTGTAGTTCCAGCTACTTGGGAGGCTGAGGCAGAGGACTGCTTGAGCTCCAGAGGTTGAGGCTGCAGTGAGCTATTATCACACCATTGGACTTCAGCCTGGGCACGAGATTGAGACCCTGTCTCTGGAGAGAAAAAAGAAAAAGGCTGATATGATTTCCCTCATGTGCCCTGCTATGGAAGAGACTGAACAATCATGTGCGCACAAACATTCTAGTCTGATGAAATCTTATTCTTCACTGCAAGCTGATAAAAGTCACTCTTTTATTAAGCTTCCTTCTGCACTGTTTTTTTTTTTTTTTTCTTTTTGAGACGGAGTTTCACTTTCGTTGCCCAGGCTGGAGTGTAATGGCGCAACCTTGGTTCACCGCAACTGCCACCTCCCAGGTTCAAGTGATTCTCCTGCCTCAGTCTCCTGAGTAGCTGGGACTACAGGCATGTGCCACGATGCCCAGCTAATTTTGTATTTTTAGTAGAGATGGGGTTTCTCCATGTTGGTCAGGCTGGTCTCAAACACCCAACTTCAGGTGATCCGCCTGTCTTGGCCTCCCAAAGTGCTGGGATTACAGGCGTGAGTCACTGCACCCGGCCCCTTCTGCACATTATTTGATGAGCATAAATGAGCCTCTCAGCCATCATCATCATTATAGGGCAACAACTAACAAGAGGGAGGCTTTGAGATTTCAACACACAGGGCCCCAATGAAACATGGCACGGGTGACCTCTGCTATCATTTATGATGGAGGAACTGGTACAGAATTAGCCTTTCCACCATAAACAACAATACAACTGGACAAAAAATGTAAGGCAGCTCTTCCAGGCACTGGACCACAGGAAGAGAAAGACTAATTCTGGAAAGAAGGAAAACACCTGGGGTTCGAGACCAGCTTGGCCAACGTGGGGAAACCCCGCCTCTACTAAAAATACAAAAATTAGCCGGGCGTGGTGGCAGGTACCTGTAATCCTAGCTACCCAGGAGGCTGAGGCAGAAGAATTGCTTGAACTTGGGAGGAGAAGGTTGTAGTGACACAAGATCATGCCACTGCATTCCAGCCTGGGTGACAAGAGGGACACTCTGTTTCAAAAAAAAAATGTCCTGTGGATCTGAGGAGGCAAAAGATGCGAGACACAAGAGCAGACTGTAGGCCACATTATTATATGTATTATTATTTTATTTTATTTTGAGACAGAGTCTTGCTCTGTCGCCTAGGCTGGAGTGCAGTGGCACCATCTTGTCTCACTGCAACCTTCGCCTCTCGGGTTCAAGAGATTCTCCTGCCTTAGCCACCTGAGTAGCTGGGACTACAGGCGCGCCACCATGGCCGGCTAACTTTTGTATTTTTAGTAGAGTCCGGGTTTCGCTAAGTTGGCCAGGTTGGTCTCGAACCCCTGATCTCAGGTGATCCGCCTACCTAGGCCTCCCAAAGTGCTAGGATTACAGGCGTGAGCCACTGCGCCCGGCCATATTACTTTAAAAAGCAAACTAAACTACAACGCTTAGGGATGCTGCTTGTGGTAAAGCAATAATATGATTACCATATTTTTTATTTAGGGCGGTTACTCTGGAGGAGGCGGGTATCAGGAGGGCGCAGGAGGCCTCTGGGAGGCTAGCGAAGCTTTATTACTTGACCGGGGAGGTGGTTTTCCAGAAATGTTTTTGATAAATTAGCTGCTTTACTGTTCTGTGCACTTTTAAAAGATGTGTTCTATATTTCGCAATACAAATGGATTTTTTTTTTTTTAATATAAAAAGAAAACGACATTTGGGACAAGCCGGGGTGTCCAAGAGAAGGCAGGACCCACCTCCAGGCCTATCACGATCTGCAGCCCGACCCCCTCCTCAGGCCAGGTGAGCGTCCTCGCCGGTCACTGGACTCCCAGAGCGACGGCTTCAGCCCCCAGAGTCTACGAGGGTGGGCACAAATCCCTTGGGCACACATAGCCGGGGATGGGCACCTCCCAGCTCAGCACCCCTTCTTCCCGCACTCGGCCGGCAATCTCGGCGCCTTGGACCGTTTGCGCCTGCGCGGACGTGCCCGCGGAGACTCGGCTGCGCAGGCGCCCTCTGCCCGGAGGGGCTCGAACAGTCCCGGAGCAAAGGGAGATGCTGGCTCTGGGGTTGTGACTGCTGTCACGTGTTCCTTGGACTGCTTTGCAGGTTCCTAAAGGGTCAACTATGTTCAGTTCTAGAAATGTTCCTTTTTTTTTTCTTTAGAAGTGTTCCGCTCTTACCCAGGCTGGAGTGCGGTGGCTTGATCTGGGCTCACCGCAGCCTCCTCCTCCCGGGTTCAAGCGATTTTCCTGCCTTAGCCTCCCAAGTAGCTGGAATTACAGGCGTGCCAACACCCATGGCTAATTTTTGTATTTTTGGTAGAGATGGGGTTTTGCCATGTTGGCCAGTTGGTCTCGAACTTCTGGCCTCAATCGATTCAAACGCCTCTGCCTCCCAAAGTGCTGGGATTACAGGTGTGAACCACTGTGCCCAACCAGTTCTAGAAATTTTCTGGTGCTGGGATTAGCAGATCACTGTAAAGGGTCAGATAGTAACTATTTTAGACTTTGGGCCAAGAGGCAAAATCTAGGACATCTAAATAGGTCTTAGGTAACAAGAGAAAAATAAATTGCCACAATTTTTTAAATTGGTGAAATTAAAATTATTATAATAGAGTACATGTATTTTTAGTACAGGCCTACTAATGAGAAGTATGGAATTCTTTTTGGGGAGTGGGGTATGGAGGATAATATTTTCCTTAATAGTCGCTCACAGTTAGTGTTTCCTAGAACTAACACACATATTGATTGCAATGTTCATCTGTTAATACAGATTTGCTGTGAGATTTTTACCCACTTCATTTTTTTTTAAAAAGACAGAGTCTTGCTCTGTCGTACAGGCTGGAGGGCAGTGGTGCAATCTTGGTTCACTGCAGCCTCCATCTCCTGGGTTCAAGTGATTCTCCTGCCTCAGCCTCCTGAGTAGCTGGGATTACAGGCACGTACCACCACACTTGGCTAATTTTTGTATTTTTAGTAGAGATGGGGTTTCACGATGGTCTTGATCTCATGACTTCATGATCTGCCTGCCTTGGGATTACAATCATGAGCCACCATGCCTGGTCTACCCCACTTCATTTTTGAAATGTCCTTTATTGCCAAAACCTGGTATCAGGCCACTAGCACATGACTTCAATTGGTCATATTCATTGCCAGGATGGGAGGAAGGCATTTATACAATTCTATTTGATTCTTGTCTTGATAGTTGCCTTTTTGCAGGTCATTATATTGCAGATTAATCACTGCCAATAGAAGCTTAGGTGGAAGTGAGGTAGGAGGTGGAACTCCAGAGGTGGGGCTTGGATGCCAGACCTAATTGAGGACTAGTTAAAACAGGGATGGAGCAAAAGCACCACCCCATAAGGCACATCCACCAGGAAAGGACACGAACAGACACTTCTCAGAAGACGTACATGTGGCCGAGAGTCATGAAAAAAACCTCAACATCACTGATCATTAGTGAAATGCAAATCAAAACCACAATGAGCCATTCTCACACCAGTTAGACTGACTACTAGTAAAAAGTGATAAAATAGCAGATATTGGTGGGGTTGTGGAGAAAAAGTAATGTTTTTACACTGTTGGTGGGAGTGTAAATTAGTTCAACCATTGTGAAAGACAGCGTGGGTGTGGAAATTCCTCAAAGACCTAGAGACAGAAATACCATTTAACCCAGCAATCCCATTACTGGGTATATACCCAAAGGAATATAAATCATTCTGTTATAAAGACACAGGCACATGTATGTTCATTGCAGCACTTTTCACAACAGCAGACATGGAATCAACCTAAATGCTCATCAACAATAGACTAAAGAAAATGTGGTATGTATACACCATGGAATACTGTGCAGCCATAAAAAGGAACACGATCATGTCCTTTGCAGGGACATGGGTGGAGCTGGAGGCCATTATCCTTGACAAACTAACGCAGGAACAGACAGCCAAATACTGCATATTCTCACTTATAAGTGGGAGCTAAATGATGAGAACACATGGACACATGGAGGGGAAAAACTCACACTGGGGCCTACAAGAGGACAGAGAATGGAAGGTGGGAAAGGGTCAGGAAAAATGTCTAATGGATACTAGGCTTAATTCTTGGGTGATGAAATAGTCTGTACAACCGTATTAGTCTGTTCTCACCCTGCTATAAAGGAATACCCAAGACTGGGTAATTTATAAGGGAAAGAGCTTTAATTGACTTACAGTTCCATGTGGCTGGGGAGGCCTTAAGAAACTTACAATCATGGCAGAAAGGGAAGGAGAAACAAACACCTTTGCGAGGCAGCAGAATAGAGAAGAGCAAAGAAGGAACTTCCAAACACTTATACAACCATTAGATCAGGTGAGAACTCACTCAGTATCATGAGAACAGCATGGGAGAAACCGTCCCCATGATCCAATCACCTCCCTCCCTCGACATATGGGGATTAGAGGTCCCTCCCTCAATACAGGGATCTTACAATTCAAGATGAGATTTGGGTGGGGACACAGGGCTAAACCATATTAACAACAAAATCCCATGACATACACTTACCTACGTAACAAACATGCACATCCTGCACATGTACCCATGAAGTTAAAAATAATAAGACATGCTTACGAGTGAGCTATGCCAGATGACTATTGCCATGGCAACACCCCAAAGTTCCCACCCTTTTCCGTGGCAGCGAGACAACTGGGAAGTTATCACCTTGTTTCTAGGAATTTCTGCATAATCTGCCCCTTAATTTGCCTGTAAATAAAAGTGGTTGTAAGTATGACTGCGTAACTGTCTCTGAGCTATTACTCTGGTTGCACTGCTTATGGGGTAGCCCAGCTCTGTGCACTGCCGCTTCAGTAAAACCTCTGGCTGGCCCTTGACTTGTTTCCTGGGCAAAGCCAAGAACTCTCCCAGGCTAAGCCTGCCCTGCATCAGAAGCTCCTCAGTTTCACAGTTGACTGGAACTGTGGCTTAAGTTTGAAAAATGTATCTGCTGTGAATTTGTGTGGGAATGGAGATTTTTATTCTTGTTTTGACTTTTGACATCATGAGAAACATGTAAAGCAGCTTGACTTTTCAGGAAAGTATCTGCTGATATACAATATGATGAACAGTCATAGGTTTTAACACTTTACACTCTCACAAGCTTTGTAAATTTTTATCTATTCTATACATTTTTACCACCATCAATTGTAACACATCCTAGTAGATTCCACTTCAGGTTGTACTGAATTTCAACTTTTATGAAAATATTCTCTCCTATAGTTATTCCATGCAGTCTGGTCATAGAGGCTAACTCTGCAGTCATGTCAGCCCCGCACTGACTCCTCAAGTAAACAACAACTGAGAAGTATCAGTAACACCTGTCAATTCATGAAGAGCCAAGAAAAACTACCTAAAGTCCCTTGACTTTTTAAAAAATTAATTACTGTGTTAGTTTCCCAGGGCTGCTGCAACAAATTGCCACAAACTTGGTGGTTTGAAACAACATTCTTCTAGAGGCCAGGAGTCTGAATTATGGTGTTGGTAGGGTCACACTCTCTTTAGAGGCTGGGAGGCAGAATTCTTCTTTGCTTCTTTCAGCTTCTGGTGGTTTCTGGTTTCCTTGGCTTGTGGCCACATCATTCCAATTTTTGCCTCCATTTTCATATCATCTTCTCTTCTTCTCTATGTCTCTTGTCATTGGATTTAGGACTTACTGAAGTTATCCAGGATTATCTCGTCTCATGATCCTTAACTTAATTACATCTGCAGAGGTCCTTTTTTTAAAATAAGGTCACATTCACAGTTTCCAGGGATTTGAAGTGAATTAATCTGACATGAATATATATTTTTGAAGGCTTTTCTTTGACCCACCACAACTATCGATATTGCTCCCAATGTCCTCAGCTCTCTGAGCAGCTGTTCTCACTGAAAGGCTAATAGTTTAATTTTTTTTAGAGGCAACTTCTTGCTTTGTCACCAAGGCTGGAGTGCAGTGGCGTGATCATAGCTGACTACAACCTCCAACTCCTGGGCTCAAATGATCCTCCCGTCTAAGCCTCTCATGTTGCTGGGACTATAGATGTATGCTTCCATGCTCAGCTAACTTTACCATGATCAGTTTTATTTTTTGTAGAGATGGGGGTCTCACTTTGTTGCCCAGGCTGGTCTCAAACTCCTGACTTTAGGTGATCCTCCCGCCTTGACCTTCCAAAGTGCTGGAATGACAGGTGTGAGCCATCTTGAACTGGCTTAGGCTAAGAGTTTATTTTCTCTGGACACATTACCTTGGCTGCTTCCATAAAACACAATTTCATTAAATCGGCCGCAGTAAACAGTTTTCCTTGCTTGGTTGACAAGTAAGGCACTAGAAGACTGACGTCGGTTGTAGTCAGATTTTCATTTTTTATTTCTGTGAAGAAATTGCTGTGAGAAGAGAAAATGTTTTAAATTGTATGAGTTTTTTAACATTGCTTTCCTGTGATTTGGGAATGTTATGATACATGCTTAGTCTGGTAATGCTGCTATTTACCATCATTGCCTCCTAAATGCACTGCTTAGCCATCTAATTAGGTAAAATAACCCACACTCCACCGATTCCTAATAGCACAACATTCTAAATCCACCTTTGTTTTGTTTGGGCTGATGGGTTTGCACTAGCAGTTTAAAAGTACTGCGGTAGGGCTGGGCACAGTGGCTCATGCCTGTAATCCCAGCACTTTGGGAGGCTGAGGTGGGTGGATTACGAGGTCAGGAGTTCGAGATCAGCCTGCCTAACATGATGAAACACCATCTCTACTAAAAATACAAAAATTAGCTGGGCGTGGTGGAGAGTGCCTATAATTGGGAGGCTGAGGCAGGAGAATTGCTTGAACCCAGGAAGCAGAGGTTGCAGTGAACCTAGATCGTGCCACTGCATGCCAGCCTGGGTGACAGAGCAAGACTCTGTCTTGGAAAAAAATAAAAATAAACAACAAAAAAAACCCCATGGTATGGAAATATATGTGGCACTTGAAATGCTGTTGAATTATGGCTGTGCCACTGCAATTTGTAGTGCACCAAGCAGCAGTTCTAAATGATGAGTACCAGAAATGGTATTTACTGCACCTACTCAAAAGCCACCATAGATAGTACAGCATTGTTAATATTGGCTGTGTTCCAATAAAACTTTATTTATGGATGCTTAGAGTTTTCATCCATCACAAAATATTCTTGTTTTGATTTTTTTTTTCAACCATTGAAAAATGTGAAAACCATTCTCGCCTCTGGGCTATACAAAAACATGGTAGGCCAGATTTGACCTAAGAGCTCTAATTTGTTGGCCCCTGGTTTAAATCTAAACTAGGAAAATAAATGCGTTAGTGTCTTAGCCTCTTTTCTGTTGCTCAAGACAGAATACCTGAAAGAGGGTAATTTATAAAGAAAAGGAATTTATTTCTTGCTGTTATAGAGACTGAGGAGTCCAAGGTCAAGGGCCTGCATCTGGTGAGGCCTTCTTGCTGGTGGGGACTATCTGCAGAGTCCCAAGGTGGCACAGGGTATCATATGGCAAGGGGGTTAGCACAATAGCTCAAGTCTCTTTCGCTTATAAAACACCAATCCTGGGCCAGGCGCGGTGGCTCAAGCCTGTAATCCCAGCACTTTGGGAGGCCGAGGCGGGTGAATCACGAGGTCAAGAGATCGAGACCATCCTGGTCAACATGGTGAAACCCCGTCTCTACTAAAAATACAAAAAATTAGCTGGGCATGGTGGCGCATGCCTGTAATCCCAGCTACTCAGGAGGCTGAGGAAGGAGAATTGCCTGAACCCAGGAGGCGGAGGTTGCGGTGAGTTGAGATTGCACCATTGCCCTCCATCCTGGGTAACAAGACCAAAACTCCGTCTCAAAAAAAAAAAAAAAAAAAAACACCAATCCTACTCCCATGGCAACTCATTCATTCACTAACCCATTGATCCATGAATATATGAATGGATTAATCCATTCACAGGGCTAAAGCCCCCTGATGACCCAGTCACCTCTTAAATACAGTCTGAGCTCAACTTACTAACCGAAAGTGGGAGTGCAATGCTGCTATATATTGTACACAGGGTTTTGTTTGTTTATTTGTTTTTCTTTTTTGAGATGGAGTGGTGAACCTTTGCAGCTTTTACTCTAGAGTTCTTCAGTGCAGGGAGGATGCCACATCCAGTCCACTGGTCTGCACATCAGGAAATACCTCCCCCACTGGGGGTAAAAAGGAGACTTTGGGGAATATAAAAGGAGAGTTTTAAGGGAGTCCATTTTACATTCTCTTAGATGTGTCCTGTATGCACTTTTTTTTTCTTTTTTTTTTTTTTTTTTTTGAGACAGAGTTTCACTCTTGTTGCCCAGGCTGGAGTACAATGATGCGATCTCAGCTCACGGCAACTATCACCTCCCAGGTACAACCAATTCTCCTGCCTCCCAAGTAGCTGGGATTATAGGCGCGTGCCACCATACCCGGCTAATTCTTTGTTGTTGTATTTTCAGTAGAGATGAGGTTTCACTGTGTTGGCTAGGCTGGTCTTGAACTCCTGACCTTGAGTGATCTGCCCGGCTTGGCCTCCCAAAATGCTGGGATTACAGGTGTGAGCCACTGTGCCCAGCTTGCACTTCTTTTATCTGCTTGAGAATGTACCTGCCATCAGCTAGTTTTCCTTTCTCTCTCTTGAGGAAGATGGACCTTAATCCCCTTGGAAACTTACTAAAGTGCATTGCACAGGGTAGAAAACTCTCTGCAGTAACAATCAAATAAACAATTTGAGATATTCATGTCAGAATTAATAGAGCAAATGATTAACGGTTGGGTAACATATCCTTTTATGATTCAGCTGATTTCCAATTATTTACATTCTTCAAATAATAATTCAGAAATATTTAGTTAATTTGGTCACAAATTATTTATTCATACATGATGGAGTCAGTTGGTAAATTAAATAAAATAACAAAGGCAAAAACAGAATTGATAAAGAGAGGGAAGAAGGGGAGAGGAAAAATGCTGCAGATGACCTAGGAACAGGGCAAACTATCTGCTGTTAGCTGATTGTGGATGTACAAATCTCTTCAAGATTTAACTGCCTTATTTCACAGGTAATGGCAACCTTGACTCACAGAGTAAAGTGACTTTGTCTAAAGCAGTTTCGCAACAGCAGGGATTCTGGTATCTGGGCCAGGTAATTACTTGCTGTGGGGACTGTCCTATGCACTAGATGGTGTTTAGCAGCATTGCTGGCCTTTACCCACTGAATACCACTAGCCCCTTCTCCCAAATCCAAATAAATTCACACAGTGCCAAATTTGGGGGACAGGGGCAGGGCAAAATCGCCACTGGACGAGAATCACTGCTCTCAAGTAACGTCCAGACTGGCACAGTGGCTCATGCCTGTAATCCCAGCACTTTGGGAGGCTGAGGTGGGCAGATCACTTAAGATCAGGAGTTCGAGACCAGCCTGGCCAAGATGGTGAAACCCCATCTCTAATTAAAAAGTAATAATAATAAAGAAAGAAAGAAAGTAAAGAAACATCCAGTAGCAGGGTAGGTGACCAAGGATTCTGTCACCTAAGAGATGACAGAAGGCCCTAGATAAACACGTACTCCGTTGCAATTCACAAGGTGTTTTGTTTTTACTTCTCAAAAGAGCAGAGATTCTTATAGGACATACTAGGTTGTCTTTTCTTCCCCCATGACATTGGAAAAATGAACTATAACATTGTGCCAACTCGAAACCTTGATTTAGTAAAAATCTCAATGTTTAGATTCTTTGTCCAATGGTAGTATTTATCAGATGTATTCAGCTTGCTCAGAAAACCAAAGGGGCATTAAAACTACAAAAGCAAAGAGAAATAAGAAAACTTCCCATGTTTTGCTCAGTGAGTTGGCAAATGGTAGCCAAAAAAAAAAAAAAAAAAAAGAAAACTTCCCATGTTTGGATCTTGTTCTAGTTAGAAAGATTAAATTAAAATAACCGATTAGGCTTTTCGATTCATGAGCCAAATACTATAATACCCTACCCTCTGACGGGTTTGGATTTTTAACATTACTCGTGGCATTTCAGGAAGCGAGGTTATAGTTACACTCCTTACAGCCACTAAGTGTAGTAAATCGAATGTAAGGATGCATTATATTGTTTGAATTGAGCCCCACTACTGATTCTTTAACAGATGGCATGAATTCTTATATGTAAATGATTTGGTGGAACTATTCCATCATAATTTCGAAATTGTTTATATACCAAGATAGCCTTAATTTCTATATGGTTCCGTACAATGAAATTTTATTCCCTCTGTGATGCTGTTTGGTTTCTATTTTTATGAACGTTTTTCTCATAGGAAGAGAAACCTAGGACTTCTTAACCTAGATCACTTGTTACATTAAAAAGCTGCTCTTTCAGCAATGCAAGTATATACGTATATGCTTTTATGAGGAAAAAAAAAGCAGCAGCGATTAGAAGACTGCCACGGTGCTTAGAGAAGAAAAGAAGGCCCTCGTGGCCTTCGCAGTGAACGCCGGGACTTGTAGTTCCCGGCCTGACCGCTCCTCCTAGGTCGGGGTTTACCTTCTCTCTCGGCTGCAGCAAGAGCTCCCGGAAGCTGAGGAAGCTTAAAGTCTTCCGCTTCCTTTCTCCGCCTCTTAGTCCCGCAGATTGCCAGTCGATAGAGCCAATAGAAGGGCGGATTGGTACTTCATGTTCGTTGATTGGCTTAAAGTTTTGCAACCGCCCAGACAAACTTGCCGAGGATTGGCTGAGCTTTCAGTTTTGAAAATCATAGATTTCGCCCGCGCTGCGCCTCCTAGTTGCTCCTTCCGTGCGGTGAGCCCCGAAGTCCCGGAGCCGAGCGGGTCTGGGCAAGCGGGGCTTCAAGCTAGGGAGACCACCGGATTTGGATCGCAGCAGCTTTCAGGGGACGTGGCTTAGTCGAGTGAGTGCGCGTGGGCGTGGGCGTGGGGATGAGGGGGTGGTTCGCGATTTTTTCCCCCGGTCCTTTCCTCCGTCCCTGCCGACTCCGGACCAGGGTCGTAACTCCCTATCCCCGCCCCTGGCTGCCTGGGCATATGAGGGTCACCTCTTGCAGGTGGCGAGGTCGCCTGCCTTGGTTCTCGAGCCCGAGTTGCTCCCCATCCCTTCCACCTAGGCCCCCAACTTCCTAGAGCATAGCCCCCATCCCCTCCGCTCCCAGCTGCCTAGCACTTTGTTTGTGCCTGCGAGGATTATTGTTGATTTGCACGCGCAGGAAGCCCGAAACCGACTGTGTTGTTTGGCGGAATGATGCCAGATGGCGTTTCTGTACAGTTAAACCCCTCTCTCAACGCCCCCGCCCCCAGCTGAGCAGCATTTTAAACTGACCATTTCCGGAGGCTGAGCCGCCCTTGTCACTCCGCAAGCATGTTCGCTTTCAGCGGTTCAGCCCCGTTCAGCTAACATGGGTTGCTCGCGGGGCTGCCCAGAGCCAAGACTGGACGCCTGCTTTCAGAGGTTGATATCTAGAAGGCGGAATAGCCAGCCAGTGGTTAAGGGCACAGTTTAAATCCAGCCTATGCTCTTGATTTACCGGCTGACTTTGACTTCTTTTTGCCTGTTTCCTCATCTGCCCATGCATATCCTCAAGGTTGTGGCGAGAATTAAATGAGATGATGTCTGACTCGGGCATGGAGTAGGACTCAGTAAATGAGAGCAGCTGTTACGAGCTTTCTTCTTAGAGGTGTGGTGGGCGCCCAATTTACAGCACCCTCAAAAGGCCATGAGTCATAGAGGGCGATGGGGCCTCTAGTCTGGTGTACGGTGTGGAAAAAGTGTTGGAGAGGAAGACTGGAGAGTGTCTCCCTTGGTGGGCGTTGGATGCTCTTTGTGTGCAGGTGCTTACATGGGCTGAAGAAGAGGTTTTTGCTGCTTTTCCAGGAGGCTGATTCTTGGTACACTGACTCCTTTTGCAGGGTCACCTCTGTTTTAATGTACTGTAACCCTTTTTTAATGGCTGCGCTAGGTCTGCTTAAAAGCAAACTTCCCTACTGAAAGAAGTCTCAATGCTTTCATGGACTTTGTGAAAGAAGCTCTCATCCACGTTGCCCATTTGAACAAATGACTTTTAAAAAGTTAGCCAGTTTTTGCTTTTCTTTGCAAACCTTTGGCTTCTTTAAAGTTTTCTCCACCTGGCCTGAGGTGGTGCACTTTGCCAGGACTGTAGTCTGGGTGCAGAAGGACTAGGGGAAGCAAGAGGGATATCAGTGAAAAGGCCTTGCCCATGACTGGCTGGCCACAGAGCTGAGGTTTCAGCCCAAAGCCTGTACGATCCTGCCCATTTGGCCCTGACCCGATTGTTGCTGCCGTTTGCATCTAGGAGCAGGGGCTTTAGACATGTGTTGGCCAGTTCTAACCTGTGCAGATTAAGTTTATTTGGTGCCTCTTGTGTGGTGGGCGTGAGAACCTGTAGGATGTTTATTTCTTTTCTTCTTTTTTTTTTTTTTTTCTTGAGACAGTTTTGCTCTTGTTGCCCAGGCTGGAGTGCAATGTTGCGATCTCAGCTCACTGTAACACCACTGCCCTCCCCCCTGCCCCCGTACAAGTGATTCTCCTGCCTCAGCCTCTTAAGTAGCTGGAATTACAGGTGCGGGCCAACACACCTAGCTAATTTTTGTATTTTTATTAGAGACAGGGTTTCACCACGTTGGCCAGGCTGGTCTCAAAACTCCTGACCTAAGGCAGTCCACCTGCCTCAGCCTCCCCAAAGTACTAGGATTACAGGTGTGAGTCACCATACCTGGCCCTGTAGGATGTTTATTTCTAAGTGTGGAGTTGATGGGTGAATTAATTCATTCAACAGGTATTCCTTGTTGCCAGGTACTGCTGTGCTCTTGGTATTCAATGATGAGCAAGACAGGGGCTTGCCCTCAGAGAGCAATTTTTTAGTAGGCAGAGACAGGCAGTAAGCAACAGGTAAATAAGCACACAAATACTATGCAGAGAATTGCAATCAATGGATGGGATCAGGGCTGGGGTTACTTTAGGTTGGTGGTCAGGTTTCCCTGAGGAGCCGAGATCCAAGCCGTGAGGAGTGAGCCATGCATAATGGGAGACAGTATTCCAGACACAGGGCAGAACTTGTTGAGGAACAAAGGCTAGTGTGTCCCTGAATCAGTCCCTGAAACCTGACCTGGTGCTACACCCCATGAGGGATCAAGGGGTCAGCAATTTATCTCTTCCTTCCAAGGTCTTCCATTGAAAGCGGGAGGCTGAGCCGTGCATGGTTCTTGGTTTTAAAGGGGTAAATCAGGATGATACACTGACCCAGGATGGGTCACTGCCATGACTTGAGGCATGTAGTCTGTCATTAATGGCACCACCCATTCATTTGTTATTTATTTTTTTATTTTTTTGGGACGGAGTCTCGCTGTTGTTCCCCAGGCTGGAGTGCAGTGGTGTGATCTTGGCTCTCTGCCTCCTGGTTTTAGGCAATTCTCCTGCCTCAGCCTCCCGAGTAGCTGGGACTACAGGTGTACGCCACCATGCCCAGCTAATTTTTGTATTTTTAGTAGAGACAGGGTTTCACCATATTGGCTAGGATGGCCTTGATCTCTTGACCTCGTGATCCGCCTGCCTAGGCTTCCAAAGTGCTGGCATTATAGGTGTGAGCCCCTGGGCCTGGCCTTTGTTCTTTCCCTCATTCACCTATTGGGATATTTATTGAGCCCCTGTGTGATGTAGTGGAAAATGGTTGTCTCTTGGTATCCTTCAGGGGATTGGTTTTAGGACCTCCTCTGGATACCAAGATTCACAGCTGTTCAAGCCCCTGTTATAAAATGACATAGTTTTTGCATGTAACCTGCACACATCCTCCTATATACTTTGTATCTCCACATTACTTATAACACCTAATACGATGTAAAAGCTATGCAAATCGTTGTTACGCTATATTATTAGGGGATAATGACAAGGGGAAAGGGTCTATACATGTTCAGTACAGATGAAGCTTTTTTTCAAATATTTTCCACCGGTGGTTGGTTGCATCTATGGACGTGGGACTTACAGGTATGGGGGGCTGACTATACATCTTCCTTGCTTGAGGTTTTTGTAATGGTTATGGAGTTTTTTTGAGAGAGTCTTGCTGTGACGTCCAGGCTGGAGTGCAAAGGTGTGATCTTGGCTCACTACAACCTCTGCTTCCTGGGTTCAAGCGATTCTGTTGCCTCAGCCTCCCAAGTAGCTGGGATTACAGGTGCACACCACCATGCCTGGCTAATTTTTTTGTAATTTTAGTAGAGACAGGGTTTTGCCATGTTGGCCAGGCTGGGCCTGAACTCCTGACCTCAAGTGATCCACCTGCCCTGGACTCCCAAAGTGCTGGTATTGCAGGTGTGAGCCACCACGCCTGGCCTGTTAACACGTTTTAAGGTGGATACCGGAGCTGCTAAGTTTTATAAGAAAGTGGGAAAAAAACTGTTTTTGTGTTTTCCCTTGCTCAGTGCTGGTAGGCAAGATTTCTTTTTTTGAAACAGAGTCTCACTCTTTTGCCAGGCACCAGGCTGGAGTATAGTGGCGTGATCTCGGCTCACTGCAACCTCTGCCTCCCAGCTTCAAGCAATTCTCCTGCCTCAGCCTCCCAAGTAGTTGGGACTACAGGCATGAGCCACCACGGCCAGCTAATTTTTGTATGTTCAGTAGAGGCGGGGTTTCACTGTGTTGGCCAGGATGGTCTCAATCTCTTGACCTCGTGATCTGCCCACCTTGGCCTCCCAAAGTGCTGGAATTACAGGCATGAGCCACCGTGCCTGGCTGGCAAAATTTCTTAAAAGCAAGACACTGCTTACTGTTCCCTTCATGTTCTATTTATGCTCCATTTGGAGGGCATTTCAGCTCAAGGGAGAGGGGTGTGGGAGGCCCCTTGAAGGCATATCTCTGGATCCCTGCTTTCTCACTCATTCCTTTGGAACACAGAACCCCTTCTGTCCACAGCCTCTTAAAGAAGCAGTTGGGTTTGATGTTCTTTGGCCTGATGTCTGGAGTCAGCATGCATGTAGTGCAGGGTGGCGGTGTCTTATCCCTCACTTAACTGTGAGTAGTAGGAGGAGTGCCTATCAAAGCGCGACAGCTGGACTGTGTTTGGGCAGGGAGCGAGGGGCACTGGGATGGCCAGGAAGGCAGATGGCAGTGCCCTGTCATCGTAAGCCCAGAAAAGGCTATTTGTAAGGAGGACCATCAATTTGTAAGGAGGACCAGAATTGGCTGGGAAGTATGGACTTTTGGGATTCGTCATGCTGTGTGGGGTAGGGACAGGGAGGTATTTGAAGAGTGTAAGTAGAAGGGACCTTCTTCGTAGAAACGAGGCTGTGGGATTAGTGTTTGGAATTCTGCAGCTCTGGGGAGTGACTGTGAGCAGAGAGGGGCCCTGGTTTGGGCACTGGGTGTTTGTGGTTGTCATGGGTGGGGTGGATATTACAGCATGGAGAAAGCTCCAGACCCCTACCCTGAGCCCCTAACTTGTGCCTCTTGTCGCTGCCTTCACCAGACAGAGCCACCATGGGGACGACAGCCCCAGGGCCCATTCACCTGCTGGAGCTCTGTGACCAGAAGCTCATGGAGTTTCTCTGCACCATGGACAATAAGGACTTGGTGTGGCTTGAGGAGATCCAGGAGGAGGCCATGCGCATGTTCACCAGGTGAAGGCTGGGGCCCAGTCAGGGGCTGGGGACACCAGGGTCTGTCTGGGCTGCTGTGGTCTTGGGATACAACAGTCCCTCTTGCCTGCCTGCCTCACAAAACAGACGGCCTCTCAAGACTCCCTGCTGTATACTCTGTACAGTGTGCTAGGGGCCTGATCTAGTGTCGGAGAAGAGGCAGCAGGAGAGGCCGAAGTCCTTTGCCTGTTCACCATAGTTGGTGACTGGGCCTCTCAGGGTGCGGGGCTCTGGGCGTGTACCTGGGAGCTTGCTTGCCTGCTGTGTCTCTGGGAGGAAGCCCTAAGTGCCCACAGGTGACTTGCACATGGCCTTAGACAGCTCGGTTGGTGCTGCTCACCCCAGCTTGACCTGTCACTGCCAGAAATGGGCAGGGGCCAGGCTGGGTGGGAGAGGTGACCAGCGGTTCCCAGGGACCCTCGAGTGATACTTTCCTTGTGCCAAACAGAGAATTCAGCAAAGAGCCAGAGCTGATGCCCAAAACACCTTCTCAGAAGAACCGACGGAAGAAGAGACGGATTTCTTATGTTCAGGATGAAAACAGGGACCCCATCAGGAAAAGGTAGGAAGGGCAGGGGGAGCATGGGCTGGGCACTGGGCTCTGTGGAGGCTTGGTGCCATCTGGGAAGAGTTCCATTCTGAAGGTGTTGATTTGGAAGTAGAAGCCTGTAGGAGGGGTGGTGGGTACCGCCACGGGTACTGTGTGGGCCATGCTGAGAGGGGTTGGAATGCCATCGGGAACTATAGCATGACCAGGACCCTGGAGTCCAGAGCTGTGGCTGTGTGTTGGGAGTGGTGGTGTTTGATCTGGGCCCTGGAGGATGGGAAAGAGAAGCCAACCTTCTGTTAGGTGAGAGGGACCAGGGGTGCGGCCCACCCAGCTTGTCCCCGCCCTCATATTGTCATGCTTGTTTTGGGCCCCCTCAGGAATGACTGGGGCTGCAGAGTGCTAGGGAAAGAGGGTGGGTCTAGGGGTTAGGCCTGTGTGTGAACCTCAGCTCTGCCCTTAGCAGAATGGTATGGCTTTGAATTGAATTTCTGCCTCTCTGAGTCTCCATTCCTCATGCCTAAGAGGTGGTCCCTACCTCTCAGGGGTGTGCTTTGGATTAAGGGAGAGCGTGTGTAAGGCTTTCAATGGGGGCTCGGTGCGGTGTGACTTAAGTCAGCCGGAGGTTTGGATGAATATAATCTTCATAGCCAGTTCTGTGAGGACTGTGGCATGATCCTCAGTTTACAATTACAAGACTGAGGCTCAGACAAGAACGGCCTCATGGCTAGAGGTCGCAGAGTCTGGGCTGGAACCCGGATCTCTTGCCTTCAGATTCTCTCATCATCATCCAAGCTGGTGGCTCTTGGGGAGACTGGGGTGCCACCCCGTTCTTCTGTCCGTCAGCCTCTGCCCTGCTGCCTCTGCCAGGTTATCCCGCAGAAAGTCTCGGAGCAGCCAGCTGAGCTCCCGTCGCCTCCGCAGCAAGGACAGTGTGGAGAAGCTGGCCACAGTGGTGGGGGAGAATGGCTCCGTCCTACGGCGTGTAACCCGTGCTGCAGCTGCAGCTGCCGCGGCCACCTTGACATTGGCTGTACCTTTGCCCACCCCTGAGTCTCCCACGATGCTGACCAAGAAGGCCGAGGATAGCGGTGCCCAGTGCCAGCTGGTGCCCGTGGTGGAGATTGGCAACAGCGAGCGCCAGAATGCTGAGCAGCACCTCACTCAGCTCATATCTGCCCAGCCTCTGCCTCGTGCTCTGTCTCCAACTCCAGCTTCAGCCGCAGCCACAGCTCCAGCCTCCCAGGGCATCCTGACCTCAGATGAGGAATCAACACCCAAGAAGTCAAAGGCCAGGATACTGGAGTCCGTCGCAGTGAGCTCTCTGATGGCTACACCCCAGGACCCCAAGGGTCAAGGGGTTGGGACAGGGCGGTCTGTGTCCAAGCTCAGAATTGCACAGGTCTCCCCTGGCCCACGGGACTCGCCAGGCTCTCCAGACTCTCAGTGGCAGAAGCGGGTGCTGGCTCCCATCCTGCCGGATAACTTCTCCACGCCCACGGGCTCCGGCGCCAATTCTCGGCCGGTGCGGCGCAGCCTGATCGCCCCATCCTCCCCGAGTCCCCAAATCTCAGCCCAAAAGTACTCTCCGGTGGCCAAACAGGAAAGCGTTGTCCGCAGGGCAAGCAGAAGGCTTGCCAAGAAGACTGCCGAAGAGCCAGCTCCCTCTGGCCGCATCATCTGTGAGTTGGGGGGCTTGGCAATGGTGGGGTGTGGCTGGTGGTCCTTGGTGTCAGGCTCAGATGGAGGGTTTCTGAGGGACCATCTAGTGAGGAGCTGTCCAGAGGACTTTTTGCAGTGAGGTGGATGTTCCACATCTGGGCTGTCCTGGGTGGTGGCCGCTAGCTGGCCTCATCCGGCAATCGTGTCCTTAAAATGTGACTAGTCTGATTGAGAAACTGAATTTTAAATTGTCTTGTATATAATTAATTTAGATTTAAATAATTACATGTAGCTAGTGGCTGCCACATTGGACGGTGCAGATCTGACCCAGCGTACTTGCTTTACAAGTGAGGAAGCTGAGATTCAGGGAGGTTGGCCACCATGTGGCCATGGTGAGCCTGGAGCCTGGGCCTCTTCCCCCAGCCCAGCTCATTCCTCCCATGCCTGTGCTGCAGAGGCTGCTGAAATTCACCGGCTTTGTGCACCTCCCATTGACAACACTGTGTTTGGTCTGGAAGAGGGAATTCTCATGGCAGCAGGCTCCTTCTGGGAGAATGGCTGACTGGGCATCTGATGGGAGGCAGGAGGGGGAACCAAGCTGACTCTGGAGCTGGCCCGCCTTTGAGTGCCAGCTCAGCCATTCACCCAGCTCGCAGCCTTGGGCAGGTCCTGGCAACTTCGTGGGCCTCCATTCCTTGCCTGTCAACTGGGGCTAATAGCATCACTTAAAACAGTCATTGTGGGGTTTTCTTTGCTTACCCCATACAAGGAGTTTAGAAGGGTTCCTGGCTTATAGGAAGAGCTTGGTGACGTTAGCTGCTCTCTCAGATCTCAGCTTAGGGGGCCGTTGCCCACTGGAGCAGGTGTCAGGAGGGGCAGGCTGGCTGCATGAGGAGGTGAGGTCTGAGCTGGGAGGGTTCTGAAGGATGGCTGTGCTTTTGCTGAGTGGGAAAAATACAGGCATATGCGTTCCGGCAGAGGGAACAGCTGGTACAAGGACCCGATGCCTAAAGCAGCAAGTGATGGGTGTCTGGGGCTCATGTGTCACACAGGAGCTTGACCCCACTGAAGCAAAAGAAGTGGCCTGATGATGGGGAAGGGAGGGAGGCAGGGATATCAGGTAGGAGGCTGCCGTCAGGATGCAGGCAGAAGATGGGCAAAGCAGCATATTGGTGACGAGGATAGGCCAGGATTTATCTTTTTTTTTTTTTGAGATAGAGTCTTGCTCTGTTGCCCAGGCTGGAGTACAATGGCACGATCTCGGCTCACTGCAACCTCTGCATCTCAGGTTCAAGCAGTTCTCCTGGCTTAGCCTCTAGTAGCAGGGATTACAAGCGCCTGCCACTATGCCTGGCTAATTTTTGTTTTTTTAGTAGAGATGGGTTTTCACCATGTTGGCCAGGCGGGTTTCGAACTCCTGACGTCAAGTGATCCACCTGCCTCAGCCTCCCAAGGTGCCAGGATTACAGGCGTGAGCCACTGTACCCAGCCCAAGTTTTATCTTAACACATATGAAATAGTAGCTGGCATCTGCCTGGCACTTTCAAATTTATAAAAGGAAAGGTTATCTCATTTGGTCCTTGCAGCAGCTCTGTTTGCTTGTTAGGATTTTTTTCACTTTACAGAGGAGGAAACTGAGGCTTCACGAGGCCATGGAGTCTGTACATCGGGAAGCTGAGGCTTGAGTACTGTATGTTTCATTCTGTCCAGAAAGGCAGGTGCTTGCAGAGGAGGCTTTGTGCAGGGCAGGGCCTGTCAGGCAGGGGAGGGCACCTCACCTTGGCAGCTTTCTCTCGGCCTGAGTCACACTGCCTGGGGAAGGGCCTGCTCCAGGGTTTGGGGAGACACAGTCTGGGGTGTGCGCAGATGTGCAGTCTGGCACACTGTCTATTTCTGGATTCTCAGGACCTAAATGGTTCTGATCTGTTTTGGAGATTTTATCAGGCCTGGATCTGATCCTGGGAAGGGGCCCAAGGGGGCAGGTGAGCTTGGACCTGTAGAGGGAGGGCCAGGCAGGGTTACAGAGACTGTTTGGAGATCTTTGGAGCAGACACCCGGATCTGCAGCTCTCATGCCCGTCTATCACTCTTCCCTCTCCATCTAGCGTTTCCCTGCCCATGAATGGGCTTTTGATTTGACTGGTGCATGTGACACAGGTCTGTCTGACTCCAAGCCCAGCATCATCTCTCTTCTTAAGGTGCTTGCAGGAGGAGAGAGAGGACACAGGATCTAGGATGTGGAGTCACAGACGCTGGGTGACCTTGGGCACACCCCTTCTCTCCACCTCAGTTTCTGTCTCTGTGAAGTGGTGATAACACTTGCTTTGAATGTGAATAGAGAACTCATCTTCGTGCTTGGGTAGAGTGGATGCTCAGTGCATCTTACTTAAGCCAAAGGGTAATAAAACTGACCAATGGCTGACGCTCAGTTTAGGTGTGACAAGGCTGACCCCTATCGATGGAGCTGCAAGGGTGTCAGGGTGTGGGGCGGTGACAGGGAGGAGGCTTCCCCAGGCTCTTCCCAACACCAGGCTCTGCGGGGAGTGGCTCTTGGGCAGCTCAGACGTGAGGTCTTGGTTTGGGTTTTCCTGAGGAGCAGCCCTTGATCACAAGGATTTGAGTGCAATTCATTAATTTTTGGGAAATTAACAAATTTAATTTCCCAAGAATTAAATTTGGGAGGGGAAAGAAACACCTGAAGCAGAGGAATGGGGATGTGAGACAGGAAAAAAGCCAACAGTTTGGGTGGGCATGGGGGCCTCTGGAAGCCAGTGTGGGGCCCTGGGGCATGGAACAGCTGGGTGTAGGCAGGAATTCCCTGCTTCCTGGCCTGGCACACACCTGCCAGAGGGGACGGTTGGGCAGCAGTTCTGAGTGGATGGGAAGGGACAGGCCCGCTGCCTCAGGGCTCCTCCTTGGGGCTCCCAGCCACCTCTGCGCTGGAGAACAGCCCTTCTGTCCCTCTGCCAGGACTTAGGCCACTTCCCTACCAGCTCTGAGGCCTGAATGGCGTGCAAGTGGCACTTACCATTCCAGAGAAGTCCTGTGCTGGTGGGATAGCCATGCAGTCATGTGGGCGTCTCACCAGGGAGCATGTGAACTGGGATCAGATGGCATGAGGAGACAAGGGGGATGTATCCTCTGGGTATAGACCCCTCAAATGGGGGTGATCACCACCTGTGACTGTCAGCCTGGCCCTGCAGCTGCTCCCGCCACCTCCCCAAACCTGGCTACTACACCCAGGAAAGGTCCCAGCTTCCCTTCCCTGTGCCTGGCCTGTTGTCTTCCCTCTTTTCCTGAGACCCTGTTCATCCCAACCTCCCGCTGGCTTCCTCCCAGCCTGACTGCTGGCCGCACTCCCGTGGCTCAGGATGCGCCAGCTCAGATACCTTCTCTCCGTTCCCCAAAAGAGCCTCTTTTTTCCTGCCTCGTGGCCATGGCCCTCTTCCTCTCTAGACCAGTGGCACTGGGAACAGGCATGCTCCCAGCTAGGAAGAAGCCGGGACATGAAGCTGGCAGCTGTGGTGAGGATGCTAGGGTGAGTGCTGAGGGCCCTGGGCATCCTGTTTTAAAAATGATTGAGCCTCAGCCTCAAAAAGCTTTTGACAGTCTGGGTAACATGGCCAAACCCTGTCTCTACAAAAAAGGAAAAAATTAGCCAGGTATGGTAGCTTGTGCTTGTAGTGCCAGCTACTCAGGAGGCAGAGGTGGGAGGATTGCTTGAACCCGGGAGGTCAAGGCTCAGTGAGCTGAGATTGCGCCGCTGCACTCCAGCCTGGGTGACAGAGCGAGACCCTGTTTAAAAAAAAAAGCTTTGATTACGAGGTCGTGTCTACTGATAGTTGTTGTATTAGAAATTGAAACAGGAGTTTGAAAGTATTTTAAATATGAATTAATATTTTTATATAAATATTTAGTACTTTAAAGATTTAAAAATATTGTTTAACATTTTCACATTACAAAGTGCAAATACCACGCCCAACACCTGTTTACTTTAAGACTTTTTATGAAAAAATAACTTTTCCAAAGCAAAAATGTACTGAGGAGACTGGCATTATTCTACACTTTGCAGATCTCTTCATTGGGTGGCTTTAAAGAAGCCACGTTCTGTGTAGATCTGTCGCACTGCGCGGTTTGGGTTAAAGTAGGTCAAGAACATCTGGTCTCACGCAGACGTGAGTATCTGAGTAGCTTTTTCAGATAATTGTGCATATTCTTTGTTATTAAGACCAGTACAAGAAGTGATAGTTCTTAGAGGTTTGTTGTGATATGGAATCTGAAACCACATCGTTGATGCCACATGGATCTACCATGCACTGTTTCTTTCTTTTTAAGACGAAGTCTTGCTCTGTTGCCCAGGCGAGGGTGTAATGCCTCGATCTCAGCTCACTGCACCCTCTGCCTCCCAGTTCAAGCAATTCTCCTGCCTCAGCCTCCCAAGTAACTGAGATTATAGGTGCCCACCAATACCCGACTCATTTTTGTATTTTTAGTGGAGATGGGGTTTCACCATATTGGCCAGGCTGGTCTTAAACTCCTGACCTCAAATGATCCGTCCTCCTCTGCCTCTCAAAGTGCTGGGATTACAGGCATGAGCCACCATGCCCAGCTGCACGTTGAATGGGTCTTTTAGCTGTGTGTGATTTCACAACCTCATACACTCATCATTTGGAAAATACTGTTTCACTAAGTTATGCACGTCTTCCAAGTGTTGACACCCTTCATTGTATAATATCATAAAAAAGCACCTCTGTTTCTGACCTCATCAGAAAAGTCCTTAGGCACTAGGGTGCTGTGACGCTGATGGTGGTAGATACCCGCTTTTCAAAATTCTACTTTTGGATGTTTTCGGCTCAGTTTTTAAATTCTTGTCAGCACATGTTGTTTTATTTTTGTGATGGATTCACTTCATTGACTTGTAAGAAAATGTCTTCCAGATACCCAAGTTTGAATAAGCATTGTCTGTCGGTCGTTCTTTTAATTAATAGTAGTGTTCCCGGTGAAGAAGTGGCTTGCAGCTGGCAGCTTCAGAGACAAGCACTTTTCACGGAGAGTTGGGTCTGCAGCAGCGGGTTCTCTGCACACTTCCCCCTTCAGCACACAGAAGAGGAGAATAGTGTGTACTGGAATTTAGATTTAGTAAAATCAGTACTTTTGCAGGCGCGGTGGCTCACACATTATCTCAGCACTTTGGGAGGCTGAACCAGGTGGATCACTTGAGGACGAGTTCGAGACCAGCCTGGCCAACATAGCAAAAGCCCATCTCTACTAAAAATACAAAAAATTAGCTGGCTGTGGTGGTACGTGCCTGTAATTCCAGCTACTTGGGAGACTGAGGTCCGAGAATTACTTGAACACAGGAGGTGGAGGTTGCAGTGAGCTGAGATTGCTCAGCTGCATTCAGCCTGAGCGACAGAGTGAGATTCTGTCTCAAAAAAAAATTAGTGCCTTTTACGTCTTCATCAAGGACATCGTCCAGTTCTGTTCTTCCCATGAATATGTGGTCCGAGGATAGTGTTTGATGCTCTGGCCTTGACGGGGGCTAAGGCTTCAGAAGCTTCTTCCTCATTGCTTTGGTGCCATCAGGCCAATTGTCAACACAGTGAAAGGGGAAAGTTAGCATCAAGATGAAAATAGCTATGACCTCATGGATACCCCAAGGGTCTCAAGGACGTCCAGGGGTCAGAGGATACAAGCTGAGAACCACTGGCCTGGATGTCCTCCTCCTTTGCCTATAAACTCCTGTTCCACAGCGGATCCTCCAGGCCAGCTCAGGTCCCCTTGTCATAGGCTTTTAACATTCTCTGTTCTGGGCCAGGCATGGTGGTTCACGCCTGTAATCCCAGCCCTTTGAGAGGCCGAGGGGGGCAGGTCACTTGAGGTCAGGAGTTCAAAACCAACCTGGCCAACATGGTGAAACCTCGTCTCTACTAAAAATATAAAAATTAGCTGGAAATCGCTTGAACCCAGGAGGCGGTGGTTGCAGTGAGCCAAGATCGTTCCACTGTACTCCAGCCCGAGCAACAGAGCGAGACTCCGTCTCATAAAAAAGAAAAAATTCCTCTGTTCTGTTCCATTATTCCCTGTGTCAGCGTTGTTGATAGGACTATTTGATGATTGTTATCAAGACCAGATAGTGGTTCTGTTTTGCTCACCATTGCGTCCCTGGGGCCTGGCCCAGGTCCCAGTACACTATAGGCACTTGATGCATATTTGTTGACAGAATAAGCCGCTTTGTGTTGGGCCCCATGCTGGGAGTTGGGGGCCTGGAGCCGCAACAGACATTGTTCCTCTTCTCCAGATATTCCCAGCCTGGTGAAAGGGCCCAGCCGTGTTCTCAGATGGGCAGGGGAATCCCATCTGGGAAGCAGCAGGGGACATGAAGCCAGCAGCTCTGATGGAGACACTGGGACGAGTGCTGAGGGGAGGGGCCTGGGCACAGTGGGGCCTCTGTGGCTAGTGATGGGAGCAGTGGCCAGGCCCCTGCTCGAACCTGGTTCCCTGGACCCCTTAGAGTGGGACCTATGTGGTTTCTGATGAGACTGTTTGTGCGTCTCTTTTCCCCTCAGGTCACAGTTACCTGGAGAGGCTCCTGAATGTTGAGGTGCCCCAGAAAGTTGGGTGAGTTCAGTTCCGGGGTTTTGCAGGTGGGCAGGGCACCCCTGGACAGGGAGCCAAGGTGAGCACTAGGGCTGGAAGCAATTCCTGGGGATAAGTCTTCCCTGCTGAGCCCTGACTGCCCTCGGGCTGCCCCTGTCCCATGTCAGACCAGTCAGTGAGTGACGTGGGTGTTGGCTGCCCGGTCTTCCTACAGTGCCCGTCAGCGGTGCTGGTTGCCCTGGCCAGACCTGACCCTGGGGCATGAGCTCCAGAGGTTGTGGGTGAGGTAGAGCTGCCAGGAAGAGCTACATTCAAACTGGGTGGGGTGGGATGGGGGTACTCCAGGATCACACCCAGTGCTGCTTTCGGCCAGGACACAGACTTGTTTTCTTGGAGGCCATGTCCTGCCATCATGAAAACTAGCCCCTCCCTCCTTGCTGCAGAGCAACGGTTTGTTCTTGGGCTAGGGAACAGCATGACTAGGTGGACCTGCTGGCCTTGCTGGCCCCATGGTGAATGGAGAACAGACCACAAAGGAGATACAGCTCACCTGGGCCCAAGACGGGGAGCTGAGGAGGGAGCTCACGTCCTCAGTCAGCCCTGTGAGGGGATGGTAGGGGGAGGAAGCCACATTCTGAATCTGACATTCCTCGTCTGCCCACAGAGCCATTGCCTGGAGCTGCCATCCTCCCATCCCGCAGGAGGCTGTGGGTTGATGGTCCTGATCAGGGCACCTTGTGTTGACATCTTGGGTCCCCCATCCCTGGAGCAGGGGAGGGACTCCCTGTGCAGGAGGGCTTGGACTGGCTGGGCAGTCCCCACAGAGACCCCCTTCTGTTTTCAGTCCTGAGCAGAAGGAGCCCCCCGAGGAGGCTGAGCCTGTGGTGGCAGCTGAGCCAGAGGTAAGGCGGCTGCCTGGGGAAGGGAGTACTCACCTCTGGGGCTCCCGCTCTGCCCTGCAGCATCCTGGGCCTTGGGTTCCAGGTAGAGACTCCTAAAGCCTTCGTTCTTTCCACAGGTCCCTGAGAACAACGGGAATAACTCGTGGCCTCGCAATGACACCAAGATTGCCAATGGTACACCCAACCAGAAGCTTGCAGCCAGCAACCAGGAAACACCCTCTGCAGGGCAGCAAGGTGAGTCTTCCAGCCTTGCCTGCCATGTGCAGTGCCTGGAGCCACAGCGGGCCTTGGTGGCCTCTACCTGACCTTCTCTCTGGGGAAAGGAAGCCTCATTTTCTGGACCAGAAGGCTAAAGAGAAATGAAACCTGGGGGTTCACAGAGCTCCTTTGAGGTTTCGCCTCCCACCATTGGGCTGAGTGCGGCATGGGGGAGCTGTGGCTGGTTGGGACAGGAAGCAGGGGAAGGGCCTGCGTTGGGGTGTGGTTATGAATGGCCAGGCCAAGGCCTTGAACTCGACTCCAGGGGTCAGCGAGAAGAGCTGTGGGCTGGGGACTGGAACACCCCCTGGCCTCCTCCTTTGCCTCTGCTGCTGGCTTCTTTCTGACCTTTGTAGGGCCATCCCTGTCTAAAGAGGGCTGGAGAGCGGTAGGCATGGGAGGGTCCCAGGGTCCTGCTCACGTCTCCCTGACAAGGGTGCTTCTCTCTGGTGGGAAGAGTACTGTAGCTGTGAGATCTTGAACATGGCCTTCTCTTCTTCACGACGTGGTCAGGGACAACGATCATGCCAGCCCCACAGCCCCCAGGGCTGCTGGGAGGAACTTTTGGAGTAAGGGGTACTTTCTCCTATCAGTGAAATAAAACATACTGATCCTACATCCCACATGTGGACCCCACAGCAGGAGCCACCCCCTGCTCCTGTCACGGCCACACTAGCTGCACAGCCCAGGAGGGGTGGGATTTAGAAGGTGTTCGAGGGGCTTGGAGCTCCCGCTTCTATAAGGTGTCCACACACCGTTCTTTGTGTCAGAGGTGGGTGGGGCATGGCTGGGGCTGCTGTCTCAACAGGACCATCCTGTCCTGCCTACCACAGAGCCGGGCACTCGCGGGCAGGGGTTCATGGGTTGGGGGTAGCCAGGCGTTGGCATCTGTAGATTCCTCAAGGCTAGTGAGGGTTAAAGCTGATAGGTCTGCATTTGGCCACCATGGAGTTGCCAGGAAGGGAGCGTTGCCCCACTGCCAAGGCTGCTGCCCAGGGACCCCTTCCCCCTACACCCCCATTCCCACCCTGCTGCTGCCATCATTTCTGTAGCCTTGCTGAAATTGCTATCTTCACAGAGACCAAGATGGACCAAGTAGATGGACCCAGAGAGCCACCGCAGAGTGCCAGGTTTGCATCAGGGAAGGGGCCTGTGGCATCTCTGTTCTGAGGGCCCCAGAGGACATGGCCTTGTGTCCTTGCTCAGCGAAGGCAGACGTGTACCGAGGGGCTTGTAGCCTCTCTGCTGGGGTGCGGTCTGGTGCTCTGACTTAACCAAAGAGGCAGCTCCATGCTGTGGATGAGCACCAGCCTGGGAATATGGCGACCCGATGGTTAACCCCGTCTTAGTGTGGCCTTGGAATGGTCACCTTCCTTTCTCTGAGTGGGCAGCAGAGGGTCGGTTAGGCTCTCTAGTCTCTTTCAGAAAGTCTAGAGGCCTGTGGCCTAGGCGTACTGTTGTCCACCGGGATTACCTTTGATGAAGTGTGGCTGGGCTGTGGCGGGCTGCCCTGTGATGCCATCACCCGTGCCTTGGCAGGAGGAAGCGCAGCTACAAGCAGGCAGTGAGTGAGCTGGACGAGGACCAGCACCTAGAGGACGAGGAGCTGCAGCCCCCCAGGAGCAAGACCCCCTCCTCACCCTGCCCGGCCAGCAAGGTGAGCTGGGCGCCTGCCCTGCCCTGGTGCCCTGACCCCCGTCGGTACCCTGCCCCGCTAGCCCACTCCTTACCCTTGTCCTCGTCTGTAGGTGGTGCGGCCCCTCCGGACCTTTCTGCACACGGTGCAGAGGAACCAGATGCTCATGACCCCGACCTCAGCCCCCCGCAGTGTCATGAAGTCCTTCATCAAGCGCAACACTCCCCTGCGCATGGACCCCAAGGTTAGGGGGCTGTGGCCAGGTTGGGCTTGGTGGGAGCTGGGCAGTGTGGCCGAAGGTCCAGTCTGTCCCCTGAGATACTGGGAGTAGCGTGATCCGGGGCAGGGGCAAGTGTGGCCGGGCTCTGTTAGGGGCCAGCTGAAACCTCTGTGGTCACCCACTGCCTTGACCTCTGGGGGTACTGTCCCAACCTTGCGGGCTCTCGACTGTAGCCTAGAGGCTCGGCCGGCTCAGTGTGAGCCCTGGGGATCGGGGTGGTTAAGGTGAAGGGCCCTCATTGGGATGAGGGTTGGGTGACAGAGGCGGTGGGGGTGCCACTGGCAAGAGGGGCAGGCCCCATGCAGGCTGGCTGGCACAGCTGGGCGCATGGCCTGACTGTAGGATGCCCCGGCCTGGCACTAATTCTTGGCTTTTCCCTTGTCTCCTCTCCACAGTGCAGCTTTGTCGTAAGTAAAGCCTTTTCCTGTCGGTAACCTAGCCCCACCTAGCACTTACCCGCTTTAGCCACTTTCCTGCGTAGCTGACAGCACTCGTAGACGCACTAACATCGTGAGCGGGAGAGCCTTAGGGAGAGGGTGGGCCGTGAGGGGTGCACTGGCTGGAGGCACCCAGCAGTTCTGGGCCTCAGCCTCCTCTGCCCTCTCTGCCCTTGACTGCTCCTAGGAGGAAGCAAGGGAGTGTGGCCTGCGGCTTTTCTCCAGGGCTTCAGCTTGACATGTTCCCCACAGCCACCTCCCGCCCTCCTCCCCAGCACCAGGCCCCCTCAGGGTCTGTGGGTCTTTGAAGAGAACAGACAGGTTGTCTCTGGTCCCCAGAGCCACTGAGATTTATTGGTTCACAGATCTGAGCAGTAGCCTTAAGGCAGTGCGGTGATGGGGGAGGGCTGGTGTTAGTCTGAACCGAGGTGGGAGGCCGGGTCTTGCTGTGCTGGGTGGCAGTAGGACAGTGAGTGGTAGCACATCTAGAAATAAGTCACAGAAGCTGTTCTCTTCTCAGACACCTCAGAACTGAGCTGAGTCAGGCTGGCCATGAGCAAGGACCCTTGGAGTGCAGGGACATGCTTCACCCGAAGTCCCAGCTCCCTGTGCCAGTGGCCAAGGCCCCAGCCGCCTCATTCCTTTAGTTCCTGCTAGCCTTCTGATGGGTTCCCTGCAGCCACATAGGGATACCTGTGACAGCCAGGAGGGCTCCTGCCTCCAGCTGAGGGCCTTGGCAGGTGGGAGGGGCTTCCCAGCAGCTGATCTCATTGGCCCTGAAGTGGCTTCTCCTGCATGGAGGCCTGTTCCCCTCTTGCTGGACAGAGTGACCGACAGTACACCTTCCAGTGACCTTACCACCCGTGCCCCACCCAGACCAATTAGAACTCTGCAGGCCTTAGTGTCCTTGGACTGGTCACCTCCCTTCCTCTGAGGTGACAGAGAAGCCTAGGAAGTTGCCCTTTCCTGCTCTGGGGACCCCAGGTCCCTGCACAGAGCATCTCGTGGGTGGGGACAGTCCATAGCGAGGAGACCAGGGGCCCACGGAGTAATTTTGGACTGTACTCTGAACATGATGGTCTGGGCCTCTGGGTCTAGTTTAAATCTATGGAGAATTACTTCAGTTTAGCTGCAACCGACCTGTTTAGGTTTAGGCTGCAGGTTCCTGTCTGCCTTCTGTGGACTTAGGTTCCAGTGTTCGTCCCAGTTTTGAAGAAAGCAGAGCTATTTGGCCTTTTCCCAGCTGTGTGCCAGTCACCAGTCAGCCTGGGACCTGGAAGGTGGTCTGTTCATTTAGTTCTCAGCTTTCGGTGTGATAATTAGGGTCAGATCCTAGCATCTGCAGCTTGGAGCTGAGCCTAGGCGCTCATCAGTAACCCGTGGTGTCATTTTCCTGATCTCCAGCACTTTCTGCTCCTCTGGGGCTCCCTTTTCCATCCTCCAGCCGGGAAGCTGGGGCTCGAGTTGCCTTGTTCTGCTTTATGTGCTTCGACTGCGTCCAGGGCCACCTGCCAGGCGGACGGAGAAAGAACCACAAGCAGGGTTTGGCCCTCACTTCTGGGATCACAGCTCCTCCCTTGAGTTTTGACTTGGCAGCTGTCTCTTTCCAGGGCCACCTTGCAGGGGGACAGACAGACGAGCGACACACAGGATTTGGCCCACACTTTTGGGATCACAGCTCCTCCCTTGTGTTTTGACTCGGCAGCTTCTTTTAACTGCTGCTGCCCCCGGTTGCCGTAGGACTACCTGTGGGCTGGGGCACAAGGGAAAGAAGAAAAGAGAAAAGTAAAAAATGGGGTTTCTGCCTTCTCTCAGCATTAGATACGCTTGTCCTGATACTGAGTCAGGACCAGAAGGCTTATCCTGGAATTCTTTCTGTCTGCACTCCAGTGACTCCTTTGGCGTTTCAGGCCGTGTTGAATTTGGCTGGAGGAACAATGGTGAACTCACTGCTGGTTGGCTGTTGCTTCCAAGTCGAGTCTTCCCCAACTGCCAGCTCCTCTTTAGTTTTCAGAGGCCTCAAGCAGCCGCTCCTTTCCTTCTGTCCAGGTTTTGTAGCTGCATTCAGTGGGAGAGGTGGCGTGGGTCTACTCCCCATCTTACCTGTTACTGGGTCCCTGCTCTCCATCTTTAGGAGGATAGTATTGTCTTGGAGCCAGATTTCTAGGTGGGAGTACTCCTTCATTTGGGGTCAGAAGCCAAGGAGAAATCTGTAGTAACCAGTACAGGAAGAGGGGGCAGCTTCAGACACTGTGCTCAGAAGTGGGAGTCTGCTGGGAGCCAGGTTGGGTGATGGGTGTGGGGCTTCAGTCTGGGTCCCAGCCTCCACCCAGCCCCAGGCTGTTCAAGGGGAAAGCACCAGTTGTCCTTGTCCTTGGCCAGGGAAGGCTTAGAGCCCCTGGCTATCCCTGTGGGCTGCCCTTTGCTGTGGCTGTGCCCCCAGGGCTTTCTGTGTCTGCCCAGGAGGGTATGCCAGCATCAATCAGCTTTTCAGAGAGCACTTTTTTAAAAGTTGGTTTAGGGCTGGGGCGTGGTGCCTTACGCCTTTAATCCCAGCACTTTGGGAGGCCAAGGCGGGCAGATCACAAGGTCAAGAGTTTAAGACCAATCTGGCCAAGATGGTGAAAACCCATCTACTAAAAATACAAAAAAATTAGCCAAGCATGGTGGCGTGTAGTCCCAACTACTTGGGAGACTGAGGCAGAGAATTGCCTGAACCAGGAGGCGGAGGTTGCAGTGAGCTGAGATCGTGCCACTGCACTCTAGCCTGGGCAACAGAGGAAGACTCTGTCTCAAAAAAAAAAAAAACGTTGCTTTAAAAATGAATGTCGGCGGGTCGGGCGCAGTGGCTCACACCTGTAATCCCAGCACTGGAAGGCTGAGGCAGGTGGATCACAAGGTCAAGAGATTGAGACCATCCTGGTCAACCTGTTGAAACCCCGTCTCTACTAAAAATACAAAAAATTAGCTGGGCACGGTGGCACATGCCTGTAATCCCAGCTACTCAGGAGGCTGAGGCAGAAGAATTGCCTGAACCCAGGAGGCAGAGGTTTCGGTGAGCTGAGACTGTACCATTGCACTCCAGCCTGGGTAACAAGAGCGAAACTCCGTCTCAAAAAAAAAAGAATGTCGGCCAGATGCCGATAATCCCAGCACTTTGGGAGGCTGAGGCAGGCAGATCACCTGAGGTCAGGAGTTCCTAACAAGCCTGACCAATATGGGGAAACCTTGTCTCTATTAAAAATATAAAATTATCTAGGCATGGTGACACGTGCCTGTAATCCTAGCTACTCAGGAGGCTGAAGCAGGAGAATCACTTGAACCCGGGAGGTGGAGGTGCCCATGAGCCGAGATTGTGCCATTGTACTTCAGCCTGGGCAATAAGAGCAAAGCTCTATCTCGGAAAAAAAAAGAAAAAAAAAAAAATAGCTAGCCTGGCGTGGTAGCTTATGCCTATAATCCCAGCACTTTGGGAGGCCGAGGTGGGCGATCCCTTCCCTTGAGGTCAGGAGTTCAGGACCAGCCTGGCCAACATAGTGAAAACCCTGCCTCTACTAAAAATACAAAAATTAGCTGGGCATGGTGGTGGGTGCCTGCGGTTCCAGCTACTTGGGAGGCTGAGGCATGAAAATTGCTTGAACCCCGGAGGTGGAGGTTGCAGTTAGGCAAGACCGCACCATTGCACTCCAGCCTGGGTGACGGAGATTTTGTCTCAAGGAGCATAGCCACATCCCAGGAAGTTTGGAAAATAAACGAAAATTAATACCATCCCTATTCCATCTCCTAGACTATAGTAACCTCTGTTAGCATTTGGTAATATTTCCTTTTATGTTTTTCAACTATTATGAAATAGCTGATATATACCGACCAAAGAATACGTGTATGTAGTATGGATGTTGTAAATCATAACAGTAGGAAGTTTCGCCTTGCGTCTGCACCAGCCCTTACTAGAACATTCACTGTGACATTGAGAGCTGTCTTTCTGCTCCTCACCCTTCCAAGCTCATCCCTCATTCTCTTTTTCGGTGCACGGTTTAGGTAGTTGTCGGCACGTACATCCTATTTGGAGCGTGACTTTTGTGCTGCACAGGCCTCAGCTGAGGGCCCTGTGGCTCAGGCTTTTGTGAGGCAGTTGAGTGCTCCTGGGAGGAAAGATGGGAGCTGTGGGCCTTGGCCTGGGTGCTGATGGGGGCACATTGGGGATACCTCTGCCTAAGAAGCATTCTGATGCTGCTGCCCACGTGGCTGCTGGAAGCTGGGGACCGCGGGCATGGGCAAGGGGGTTGTCCTCGCTCATGTCTCATCTCCCTTGCTCCATCCCACCCCAGGAGAAGGAGCGGCAGCGTCTGGAGAACCTGCGGCGGAAGGAGGAGGCTGAGCAGCTGCGCAGGCAGAAGGTGGAGGAGGACAAGCGGCGACGGCTGGAGGAGGTGAAGCTGTAAGTGGCCTGGCTCCCTGGACCATGGCCTGCCCCAGCCTTGGCAAGGCTCCCCGTGACTGTCCTGTGCCCCGCAGGAAGCGTGAGGAACGCCTGCGCAAGGTGCTACGGGCCCGAGAGCGGGTGGAGCAGATGCAGGAGGAGAAGAAGAAGCAGATTGAACAGAAGTTTGCTCAGATCGACGAGAAGACTGAGAAGGTGTGAGCCTGGACGGGGGGCCCAGGCAGTTCAGACTTGGCCTAAGGGTCAAGACCGGACCCCTCAGAAAATCGCAGATTTGTCACTGTACCCCTATACCCGTCTCCTGTCAGCTCCGCGGGCCCTGGAGTTCACTGTGAGCCCAGTGGGGGCACTGACGCTCCTGGCTCTGGGTTTCCCTGGCAGCCCTTTGTGAGTCGGGTCTAACACTCAGGCAGGACCGGCTTCTGGGGTCTTCTCCCTGGGCAGTGGGAACAAGCCAGGTGTGCAGAGCTAGGCGGGGTCTGTCATGCAGAGTTCTGGGCCCCACTCTGCAGGACTGAATGTGGGTGCTCCAATGGGCATGTGTGGGTGGGCTTTGCAGGCCAAGGAGGAAAGACTGGCGGAGGAGAAGGCCAAGAAAAAGGCAGCGGCCAAGAAGATGGAGGAGGTAGAGGCGCGCAGGAAGCAGGAGGAGGAGGCGCGTAGGCTCCGGTGGCTGCAGCAGGTGCGAGCGCAGGTGGGCCTCACGGAGGAGATGGGCACTGTCTCAGCACCATGGGGCCCTGCTGGGTGCACCCTGCCTTGTCGGGTTGACGGAGCACTCCTGTTCCTTCATGCCAAAAGGGAGGTTTCTCCGAAGCCTCCAGGGGGAGGATGGTGACCAGAACCTGCCTCTCAGCTCTGCCATTTACTAGCTCTGGGACCTCGTGCAGGCTGCTTGACCTCTCTGCTTCCATATCTTCAAGTGGCAGTGAGGGGTAAGCATGTTAATGTCCGCGAAGTGTCAGTAGTGTCTGATGCCTGCTGAGTGTTCTCCACGATTGCTGTTATGGCCCATCCCCTGACTGTTCCGTCTAAGAGTAAGGGCTTGCCTCTTCCCAGTCAGTGTGAGGGCTCTAGAGAAGGCAAATCATCATTAGGGGTTATGTGTGCCTAGTTACTAAGATCAGTTCTTGACCGTGTGCTGGGCACTGTTCTAAGCGTGTTATGCGTGTAAAACCAGCAACCCCATCAAGTGGTGGGGACTGATATGAGGAAGACCTGGGCTTTGGGCGAGCAGGGCCACTGTTCTCCCTTTCTGGCCCAGGACCAGCCGTAGCACCCGGCCTTGCTCTCCGTTTCAGGAGGAGGAAGAGCGACGGCACCAAGAGCTGCTGCAGAAGAAGAAGGAAGAGGAGCAGGAGCGGCTACGGAAGGCAGCCGAGGCTAAGCGGCTGGCAGAGCAGCGTGAGCAGGAGCGGCGGGAGCGGGAGCGGCGGGAGCAGGAGCAGCGGGAGCAGGAGCAGGAGCGGGAGCGGCGGCGGGAACAGGAGCGGCTCCAGGCCGAGAGGTGAGGGGTCTGCTGGCCCACCTGCCTGCCCTCCGTGTATGTGTGGAAGAGAGACGGTTTGGCCCCTGCCTGGACACAGGCCCACCTGCACGTGGGGGTTTGCTGGCCCTGTCCTTGGCACCAAGCCCATATGCCTGCAGCTAGTGGCCCACCTGAACACACTGTCCATTGACTATGGGAGATTCAAGGAGTGCTACATGGGCCTGCACAGGGCTTGGCTTGGTTTTGCCTCCAGCTGTGTGTACTGACTTCTTTAGTGTCTTTTGTAACTGGCAGGAGTGGGTTGCTCAGAGGATGAGCTGGTATTTCTCAGCAGGGCCACCATGGGCATTTTGGGCAGGAGAGATCTTTGTGGTACATTGCAGTTTGTTTGGCATGTTCCCACTAAATGTACCTCCCCTGGTGAGGACGATAACTCAGATTGCCCCCCACTGATACGTGCAGACTATTCCCCTGCCTTGGGAACCGTGGACCCAGGAGCCCTGAGATCTTCCAGCTCTGCAGATGCAGTGGTCTCTGTACAAGAGACAGGAGTTCCGTGTTTAGTTTTACAGGCATTTGTCCAGGGCCTACCCTGTGCCTGGTTGTTCTAAGAGTCGTGGGGATGCCAAAGAGGAAAAGCCACACTCAGTGTTGGTCAGGAGAGACTCGGGATCCTGTGTCTGTGCGCACAGAAGCAGAGCACAAAGGCCCACGGGCGTGTGAGACGTGCAGGCCCCCGTAGGTGTTGGCTCTCTCGGCTCCACTTCCTGGGAAACACTGGGCAGCACTTTTTTGTGTGTCCATCTTTGTGGGTGGCTACAGGTTTATCAGAGAAGTGAGGAGTCACAGCCGAAGGAGGGCTCCATTGTGTCAGGGCTGCCTGACGGGCACAAAGCTGACCTTGGTCCTCTGGGCAGAGTCTGAGAAGGTGAGAAGGTGTAGGGGGCAGCTGATGTGGTTTCAGAATTGCAGGGTGCTGGGCAGGGCAGGGGCTTTGAGGGTGATGTGTGATAGTCGTAGTGTGGGCAGCTTTGTTGGGTACCCAAGCTACATGCTTTATGTCTGTCGCCTTGTTTAGTTCTCAGTTGAAGCCCACGGGGCGTGGGAGCCATCAGCTCCACTTCATACAGGGGGAAACAGGTCCAGAGAGGTCGAATGACTTGTTCAAAGTCACGAGCAAGTGTGTTGTGGAGGTGACTCATGCTTGGAGCCTGTGCCTGCCCTGGAGGGTTAGGATAATTAGGCGACTGTGGATTATCCCATTTGATTCTAGTGTGGCCCAGGAGGAAATGTGTTATGGTCCCCATTGTGTAAAAGTGTGATGAGGCTCAGAGACTTCAGTTGCAAGGAAAAGTGCGGGCCAAATGCTGGGCTCCAGCTTGTGTTCCCTGCACTCTCTGGTGTGCACCTTTCTAGCCCCTGGGGCAAAACACAGCTCTTGGTTCTAAGCCAGGTACCCATTCTGCAATCCTGCCTTCTAAGGCGTGTCCTGCTGGCTGGGCCTGGCTTCCCCAGCAGGGATGGGAACAGGGCTAGGGCTGGGGCTCTGTTTCCTGTCCTAACAGGCTCTTGCTGGGTCCTCAGGGAGCAACAGGAGCGGGAAAAGGCCCTGCGGTTGCAGAAGGAGCGACAGCAGAGGGAACTGGAGGAGAAGAAGAAGAAGGTGAGGGGAGCTGGGTTTTGGGCTCCCTTGGGGTCTACCCTGAGCTGTGGGCTGGTCTGGACTCCTATGGCAGGGGCTGCCGAGGGAGGGGAGGAGAAGGGAGGGGAAAGAGAGGAAAAGAAGGGGAGGGGAAGCAAGGGAGGGGAGGGGGAGGGAAAGGGGGGAAGGTAGGGAGGGGAGGAGGAGAGGAAGGAAGGGAAGACTCCTTAACACCCTATTGCCACCTGCGTTCCAGGAAGAGCAGCAGCGTCTGGCTGAGCGGCAGCTGCAGGAGGAGCAAGAGAAGAAAGCCAAGGAGGCAGCCGGGGCCAGCAAGGTCTTGAACGTGACTGTGGATGTGCAGGTGCAGCCTGGGCCCCAGTGGAGAAGCCCTCAGGTGGAGGGGCCCACTTTGATTATTCTCTTCCTGGTAGCTGGAGGCACAGGCTATGTTAGGACCCTAAGGAAGAGGACTGATACACTTGGCCCAATTGTTTTTACTATTTTTGATGTTTTTTGTTACTCTAAAAGTAGAATTTGTGGAGGGGGAAGATAAAAAGGAACTAAACGTTGTAAAAGAGTATAAAGTTTAAAAAAAAAAAACGGGCCTCAGGAAAACTTTACTAAGCCGATTGTATGTCCTTCTAGGTTTTTACCTGTGTAACCATTTTAACACACACACATATTCTTTCCATTTCACCCATACGCATATATATTTTAAGCGAGCACATTCGGCAGCTTGATTTCCAGCCCCCTCCCACCCCATGTTTTTTTTTCTCTTAGTATATTGTAGACATCTGTCCATTTCACACAGGTAAATTTCTTAGTTCTGATGGCCGTGTACCTTAATTGTGCTGGAGTTCAGCCGGCTCCTCTTGATGAGCATTGGATCTATTTTCACTTCAGTGCTGTTACCAAACAAAACATAGTGTGAGGAAGGGTTTCAGTGCAGCAAGGTTGAGATGTTAGAACTTGGAAGTTAGTAATTTACCTGTCAATGACGATGGTTAAGTTGCAAATCCTGGAGTCTCCTGGGTGGTTCCCAGGAAGAATCTACACACACTGACCCGAAAGAAAGCTTGCAGTACACCTTGACATGAGAAAGGGAGATACAGAGTAGTGTGTGTTCTGTGACTTTTTAAAATTAAAAAGTAGGCTGGGTGCAGTGGTTCGTGCCTATAATCCCACCACTTTGGGAGGCCAAGGTGGGTGGATTACTTGAGGTCAGGAGTTTGAGACCAGCCTGGCCAACATAGTGAAACCCAGTGCCTACTAAACATACAAAAAATTAGCTGGGTGTGGTGGTGCACACTTGTAATCCAGCTACATGGGAAGGCTGAGACATGAGAATCACTTGAACCTGGGAGGCGGAGGTTGCAGTGATCTGAGATCACACCACTGCACTCCAGCCTGGACAATAGCAAGATTCTGTCTCTACCGCTGCCCTAAAAAGGTGACCCTGCACCTTTTGGTTTTCCTGTGACATGGGAGGAGGTGAGCAGGGCCCCAGAGCTCCTTGGGGGTGAGAGGCAGGAGTGCGGTGGAGGGAGCTGATGGCCGCCGTTGTTTTTCCAGTCTCCAGCTTGTACCTCCTATCAGATGACTCCGCAAGGGCACAGGGCCCCCCCCAAGATCAACCCAGATAACTACGGGATGGATCTGAATAGTGACGACTCCACCGATGATGAGGCCCATCCCCGGAAACCCATCCCCACCTGGGCCCGAGGTGAGCAAAGCCCAGAGCTCCCTGGGAGACTCAGGCCCTCACCGGTCTTCACCTTGAGGGCCCTGGAAGTAGTGGGTTGGCTGCTATGGTGTTGGGAGGCTGCTGTGTGCCTAAGCTGGTGGCTCAAGGTTCTGGCTTTGGGCATGCATTTGCCTGGGGGAGAATGGGGCACCTGGTGTTCATTGTGCTTATCCAAGGACCAGACCTATGAGGTTGGGTTCCTTCGTTGTCAACAAATGTATGAAATTGCACTGGCTTTGGGCATGCTGCTGGGTGTTTTGACTTGGACTGGGCCCCTCCTTAGAGTCCCATCAAGCAAGGCTGAAGAGACTTGGACCCAAGTAAGCCTCCTGGGGCAGGGGCAGAGCTAGAACGGGGAAGAGCACCAAGCTGGAGCCTGGGGCTTCCAGCCAGCTGGGCAGGCAGGAAAGGCCCTGAGGAGGGCGCGAGGCACTTGAGCAGGATTTGACCCAGAGTTTACAGCATGAAACAACGTGAGTGAGCGTGACTGCAATGCCTCAGGCCTGAGTGCAAGGCCAGCTTGAGTGAGCAGGGTGGGTGCTAGAACTGAGTGCAGCTGGAGTGGATGGGGCCAGTGGGGACCATAGGTGCCTTGCAGCTTTTGCTGAGCTGGAAGTCAGGGAGGGACGCAGACGCCCCAGAGGGAGGGGCCTGGAGTCCCATAGCCGGTAGGCCCTCTACAGAAACTTGTTTGTGAGTTTCATCTCATCTGAACCCTGCAGTAACCAGCATGTACCTTAAGCCTCTTAACCGCTAGTATTAAGTCATGTGGGAGATGGCAGCAAGCAGGAGCCAGGTCACAGAGAGCTGACTTTGAATAGCTTACTTAAACAGTTTCCTCATCTGTGAAAGGAGGGTGATGACAAGACCCAGCTGAGGAGTTCTATATAGAGTGACCTGAGTGAGCTCACAGCGGGCCCTTAGACACATGCAGTGCTGAGCAAGTGCTGGGTGTGTGTCTGGCCTCCTGATCCCCTGGGTCTTCCTCAGCCCTGTTGCCAGGACTGTGCTCTCCCACATCCACTGACCAGAGGCCCGCTTAGCACTGCATCAGGGCCTGTGGGGTCGATGAGAAGCAGCTGGCCAAGGTGGCCGAGGATGGCAAACTATGCTGAGGCTCTGGAGCTGGGTTTGTCTTCAAACACAGGCTTCGCCATGATTAGCTATATGCCTTTGGGCAGATCTGAATGGGAGAATAAAGAACCTGCCTCCCAGGTGGTGGGCGGGACAGGTTAAAGGGGTGCCTGGCTCATGTGAGCTCTCAAGGACTTTGTGCAGGTTAAGCTGCCAGAGGACGGTAGTAAGGATGTGAAATGAGCCTTCTCTGGGTTTGATGGTGGTACAGGCAGGGGCAGGGCTGAAGAGGGTGACTGAGCTCTGTAGGGAGGTTGGAGAGGGTGACATGGCTCTGTGGGGGACAGGGGATGAGGAGGTTTGTGGGGAGCCCCAAGGCAGTAATCGGTCCGTGGTCTCCTGCAGGCACCCCACTCAGCCAGGCCATCATTCACCAGTACTACCACCCGCCGAACCTTCTGGAACTCTTTGGAGCCATTCTCCCGCTGGACTTGGAGGATATCTTCAAGAAGAGCAAGCCCCGCTATCATAAGCGCACCAGCTCCGCTGTCTGGAACTCACCGCCCCTGCAGGGTGCCAGGGTCCCCAGCAGCCTGGCCTACAGCCTTAAGAAGCACTGAGTCTGGCCTGTGGCCTTCTTGGCAACTTCACCTCCTGTCTGTGTCTCTCTGTCTGTCTCTGTCTTTGTCTGGTGCCCTCCTTCTTGGCATGCCATCGTGGAGGGCTGGGCCAGGTGTATATAAATATCCTCTCTGCTGGGTGTTTCTGCTGCAGGTGGCAGGTGGCCCCAGGCCTGTTTGGAGGATGGGCTGGGTGGGTGGTTGGGGGAGAACCGGGCCCAGCCCCACGTGGCTCACAGACAGTGCTCTGTAAATAGTTATTATAATCTAGCTGAATGTTAGCATTTTAGTCTTTGGCATTTTACTGTTTGGGAGGTAGATTAATAAAGTATATTCCTTCAAGCATGCTGTTGGTACCGTGAAGACTGGGAGCCTCAGCCCTGGCCCTGTAGCTGTGTGTCTTGGGCCACCAGTGGGCTGGAGGACTGAGGTTCTGTTCCATCACCTGTGGTGCCTCAGGATCACTGGGTGCAGGCTCCCACCCTGGGTGCAGTGGGTGGTTCCACTGCCTGGATAAGCCGAGGAACACTTCAGTTACTGTCACAATGGGGCAGGTGGAGCACCTTCCTGTTTTTTGGGGTGCTCTGTTTGTAAAGGGGAGCTTGTTCATTGGGAAAGACCTGGGTCTTGACACAGCCCTGCCACTTAGTCCCTTACCCTCTCCATTCCTCAGGCTCCACCCTTGCTGCACAGGTGGCAAATAGACTTGAGAAAGTCTATGTGCTGGTGGAGCATGAGGTCTAAGGAGTACAGGGGTGTCCCTTGAGACCGCCTTGGGACAGTGCTTGCAAGCTGCAATATATGTCCCCAACAAAGCCAGGCAGCCTCTAATCAAATGCTTAGCGCCAATGAAAGCCGGCTGTGGTTCCGCTCTGCGGGGCCTGCTGCCTCCTGAATGCATACATCTGCTGCTCTAGCCCTGGGTTGCCAGACTATGGCCAAATCTAGCTGCGGCAGGTTCTTTAACGTTTTATTGGAATGCACGCAATAGAAATGCCCATTTCTTTATCTTGTCTCCAGTTGCTGTGTTCCAAGGGCAGCTAAGTTGCCCAGCAGAGGCCCATGTCCTATAAAGCTGAAAATGTTTACTATTTGAACTTTTACAGAAGTTTGCCAACTTCTGCTTAAGGACAAAAATAAAGCCTAAATCCAAAAATACTTTTAAAAATGAGGAAATAGTGGACACAATAGATGGAAGTCGAGAAGTTTCTACCCATGCCAGGAAAAGCGTTTTATGGTTCGTTCAGATATCTTGTGCAACTGAGGTTTCTTCCCCAGGTTCTCTGACTAGACACTGGTCTTGAGTAAATTGGCAAGTGTGTCTGTCCAAAACTACAATATCAAAACATCACTTAAAGCATCTTTATCTAGTGTGTTTAAGAAAAAGTTGTTATTCAGCAGAAAGGTAATTTCGGTTGGTCTGCATCTTTACTCTCACTTGGTATTGTCTGTTTCTTATTTTAGCCATTCTAATAGGTGTGTACTGATATCTCATCATGGCTTTAATTTGTATTTCCCTGATGGCTGATGGTGAACATCTTTTCATGTGCATTTCTGCCATCTGTATATCTTTGGTGAAGAGTCTTCAAATCTTTTATCTTAAAAGTGGATTGTTAATTACTGATGGGTTTAAGGATTTTTTCATATTATGGATACAAATATCTTGTCAGCGGAGTGCTTTGCAGTATTTTCTCTCAGTCTGCAGCTTGTCTTTAAAATTTTTTTTTGTAGAGGTGGGGTCTTGCTACATTGGCCAGGCTGGTCTCGAAATCCTGGCCTGAAGTGATCCTTCTGCCTTGGCCTCCCAAAGTGCTGAGATCGTAGGCATGAGCTGCCATGCCTGGCCCGGCTAGTTTTTTTGTTTACTCACCAGTGTTTTTCACAGAACGAAAATTTCAATTTGATGAAGTCCAATTAATGAAATTTTGAAAAATAGAGTGTGTTTTTTTTTTGTCCTGTCTAAGAAACCATTGTCTAGTCCTAGGTCCTCGTTCTCCTGTGTTTTCTTCTAAATGTTTTATTTTACGTGTTACTTTTAGATTTGTGATCTATTTTGAGTTAACTTTTTTAAAAGTATGAGGTTTGTGTTTAGGAGCATATGGATGAATGTCTAGTTGTTCCAGCACCATTTGTTGGAAAGACTGTCCTTTCTCTGCTGAATTTCTTTTGTGTTTTGTCAGGAGTTAGCCATATTGGTGTGGGTCTATCCTAGATGTTATATTTTCTCCCATTGAGCTGTGCATCTCTCCTTATTGTCAATACCACAGAAGTCAAGATGACCATAGCTTTGTAGTAAGTATTAAAATCTGGTAATATAATTCTTCCAATTTTATTTTTCCTCTTAAAATTACCTTCCCATTTAAATTTTGTGATCAGCTTCGGTACAAAAATCCTGCTAGGGCTGGTGCGGTGGCTCACACCTATAATTCCAGCACTTTGGGAGGCCAGCGTGGGCAGATCACCTGAGGTCGGGAGTTCAAGACCAGCCTGACCAACATGGAGAAACCCCATCTATACTAAAAATACAAAATTAGCCAGGCGTGGTGGCGCATGCCTGTAATCCCAGCTACTCAGGAGGCTGAGGCAGGAGAATTACTTGAACCCGGGAGGCTGAGGTTGGAGTGAGCCAAGATCGCGCCATTGTACTCCAGCCTGAGCGACAAGAGCGAAAGTCCGTCTCAAAAAAAAAAGTCCTGCTGGGAGTTCGATTAGAATTGCATTAAATCTGTAGGTAAGTTTATGTATAGATGGGCAGAATTCACATATTTGTGATCGTGTTTGAATCCATGAACGTGATGTGTCCATTTATTTGCCCGTTCAGTTTCGTTCTTCAGTAGTTTATGGTTTCAGCATATAGATCCTATACATATTTGCTTAGATTTACAACTATTTCTCTTCTTGGAGCTGCTGTAAATGCTAATGTGTTTCTGAGTTTTGGTTTCTTCTTGTTTGTTGCTGGTATAGAAATACAGTTGACTTTTCTGTCGACTTTGTATCCCATGATGCAAGTAACGCAGTATCGAGGGGGGTTTATAGGGCTCAATGCCTGTGTTCGAAAAAAACGTTTCAAATCAATGACCACTTTAAGAAACTTCTACTTTAAAAAACTAGAAAAAGAAGAGAAAATGAAAAATGTACACAGAAAAGGGGAAATCATACAAATAGAGCAGAAATCAGACGAGAAAATAAAGAAAATTAATTAATCAAAAGTTGGTTCTTTGAGAAGCTCAAGAAAAGTCCTATTTAGATGGATCAGGAGAAAAGATAAATTATCAATGTCAGCAATTAGGTAGCTTCACTGCAGATTCTACAGATACTAAAACAATGAGACTTATTATGAACAACTTCTAGTAATTTGATAATTCGGATGTAACGAATGCAGATTCTTGAAAGATACAAATTCGTTTACTCAGGAAGAAATAGAAAACCTACGTAGCTCTATGAAAGATGTGTTATCACAAAGAAAACTCTAGGCATAGGTAGCATTAGTGGTAGATGTTGCCACATACTTAGGGAAATAATCTAATTCTGCACACACTCTTATAGGAAATACAAGAGGAAAGAATACTCAGTTTCATCTAAGACCAGCATTACCTTAATCCTCAAATCAGACATTGCCAGAAAAGTAGACAGTTATCCCTCATGAACATCAACACAATAATTCTTAGAGTTTTAGCAAGTCAAGTCCAACAAGTTACATAAAAAGGATTGTACTTTTCTTTTTTCAGGGTCTCACTGTTGCCCAGGCTGGAGTGCAGTGGCAGGATCGTGGCTTGCTGCAAACTCTGCCTCCTGGGTTCAAGCAACTCTTGTGCCTTGGCCTCCTGAATAGCTGGGGTTACAGGCATGCACCACCAGCCCAGCTAATTTTTGTATTTTTAGTAGAGATGGGGTTTTGCTATCTTGGCCAGGCTAGTCTCAAACTCCTGGCCTCAAGTGATCCACCCGCCTTGGTCTCCCAAAGTGCTGGGATTACGGGTGTGAGCCACCGTGCCTGGCTAATTTTTGTATTTTTAGTAGAGACAGGGTTTGCTGTGTTGGCCAGGCTGGTTCAAAACCCCTGGCCTCTAGTGATATGCTTGCCTTGGCCTCCCAAAGTGCTGGAATTACAGGTGTGAACCACAACACCCAGCCCAGAATGGCCTGTTTTGGGGAGTAGGAGTTTATGAAAAAATCTGGTTTTAAAATATATGCTGGGTGCAGTGGCTCAGACCTATAATCCCAGGACTTTGGGAGGCTGAGGTGGGTGGATGACTTGAACCCAGGAGTCTGAGACCAGCCTGGGCAATATGGTAAATCCTTGTCTTTACAAAAAAAATACCAAAATTAGCTGGGCATGATGGCATGTGTTTGTAGTCCCAGCTACTCAGGAGGCTGAGGTGGGAGGATCACTTGAGCTGGGAAGTCAAGACTGCAGTAAGCAGTGATTGTGTCACTGCACTCCAGCCTGGGTGACATAGCAAGACCCTGTCTCAAAAATTGTATTTAACAGCATAGGACCTGCAATAGCTAAAACAACTTAAAAATAACAAATTTGGAGCAGTCACACTATACACAAGGCTTATTTCAAAACTACAGGAGGAGACTGATTTGGGTAATAAAACTCCAGTCTCCCACGCAGCTGGCTCTGTGTGAATTACTCCTTATTGCAATTCCCCTGTTTTGATGAATGGGCTCTGTCTAGGCAGTGGTCAAGGCAAACCTTTGTGTTGGGCGGTCACAAATTTGGGGGCTCATCGTTTGTGGCTACATGCCTGTGGTTCAGTGAACCCCCTTCAGCGATGGATCCAGAAGGCCGCTCAAGTGGCTCCATAGTTCTCAAAGCTACAAGAATCGGGATAGTATGATATTGGTGTAAAGGTAGTCATTGATATGTGGACCTTTATGGAATCCAGAAATAGAACTACACATATATGGTGACTTGGTTTTTGGCAAAGGTAGAAAGGCAGTTCAATGTTGGAAGCATAATTTTTTCAACAAATTGTCCTGGAACAATTGGATATGTTCTTTAAAAGCTCCAGCCCTTCTTCACACCATTTATCAGATTTAGTTCCTAATGGGTCATAGGTGTAAATGTAAGAGCTAAAAACACAACACTCCTACAAGAAAACAGGAGAAAATTCTAGAGTCTTTGTGTTTGGCACAGGTTTCTTACATATGACACCAACCGTGTGAACTTTAAAAGCAAAAGTCAATTGGACTTCACAGAAATTAGAAACATTGGCTCTTTAAAAGTTACTGTTACTCAGCATCTTTCATTCTGCCCTGGGGAGGGATGGTACAAATAGCCCATCCTGCCCTATTCTCAGGAATAGAATGGGGATCGATTCTCACCACTTGGTTAGGATGAAGATGGGAAAACCTAGGATCTATCCAGGCTCTCTTGTTTCAGTAGGACCCATTTATGGATGCTAACCCCACCCCTCACGGTAGCCCACCCCCTTACAAACCTGGCACACTTCTCTTGTCAAGTACCATCGAGCTACTTGCGGTGTGAAGCCTTGCCTGTCTCCCTTAGGTAGACTAAGCCACAGCTGCTTTCTGGCTCCATCTGGGCTTTTCACAGCACATGCCTGGTCTACGTACTGCAGTGGGATCTGGGGCGGTGGGCTGTGGGCACCGCTTGCTGCTGAGCAGCTTTGGATGCTGGCTGAGTCCTGCTGGGGCAAGACCCATAGCAGCCTCTCTTCCCTCTGGGCTTCCATGGTGCAAACATTCCTCCAGGTTTAGGAAAGAAGGAAAAGCAAGCATGAGAAGGAAAGCAGGCTGTAACCTGCATACCAAGGAATTGCAAACAATGTAGATTGCAGGTTATTGTCCTATCTGAGCCTCTTGGAGCTTGATTCTGAGGCTTCCTTGGACATCTATAGAAACCTGGGTAGCAGCACTCAGAGCTAAGCTGAGTTACCTGATACCTAAAGCACCTGCTTTCTATTTCGTACAGTGCTCGCTGCTCCAAACCAGCAAAGCAAAAAGTAACTTACACGGCCAACCCCAACCACATCCTCACTCCTGTCCACTGATTTTGGATGTTTTCAACCAAGGAGATCAACCCTACATGCTGGAAGGCGGAAGTGAACTATGGCTTGCAAAGGGAGCTTTTAAAGTGCCTTTTTAATAGTTATGCCTTCGTGAGGGTATTTGCTTTTATTGCAGTTTATTAAGCCTGAAAGAGCTGACGTGAAGATGGATACTTTGAACTCAGGTTTGGTTGTCTGAATCCTTGAAGTTTTAATCTTTGCCCCACAGACACACACACACCCCTACCTATATTACTTTGCACTTTAAATATGCCCATTCTTCTGCTATTAAGTTACAGGAAAGTTGATAGTATTAGGTTAATTTCAGGCAAACTGATCGGGAGTTACCTATAAAAGAAGAGGAGGCCCTAGATTAAACAGATTGAGAGCAGTCTCTATGTCTTAGACAATGAGAGAAGAGAGATTGATTTGGGGTATGCAGCAATCTATAAGCCCAGGACAGTGATGGTGCCTTCATCTGGTCAGTATTTCATCAGAGACACCTCTCTGGGCTAAAAAAGACCAACCTTTTTTTTTTTTTTTTTTTTTTTTAATGCTGCTTGGGCAACGCTGGCTTGATGTAGGTGACCACTACGTTCCCTAGATAATTTGTGTGGCCCCCAAACCTCTCTTATCCCAGTATCTGTTACTATCCTCAGCTACCATGCCACTCTCTTCCACTCCAGTACCCAGTCCTCACCTACCTCTGTAGGAGACCTCTGCAGCAAGGAGCCCCACCACAAAGGCGGGGTGCAGTGTTTTTAATGAAAGGGCCAAGATTAGGCGGCAATGAGGTCCTGCTCCTATGAGCACCACTATCTAGATTGAGACAGTGACGATTGTGGGAACAGGAGCCGGTGAGGCCCAGTCCGAGGGCTCAGGTGGGAGAACATCTGCTGTTGCACTGACGTGCTCGGGACCAGGTGCTGCCGGCCTTCAAGTCGTGTCTCACGTTCTACTGAAGCAGACTGAGTGACTCAGGCAGAGTGTGTGTTCTCTGCCTCCCTCCGATAGACTAAGGCACATTAGTCAATATGCAAACTGCAAAGGAGGGAATCCTCTCTCATTCCTCGCGTAGGAGGCAGGACTGGGTATTACAACGGGGACCTCCCCTAGCGGTCCCCCAGCTGCCTGGAGTCACTTAGCAAAAACAAAAATAATAAAAATCTGTGTTTGGCCCTGAAATAGACTCTACAGCTCCTTTTGCCGCTCCCTGTGTCAGGGCCAAGGAGATGGGGTTTGTTGTCCAGCTCTGTGTAACTGCTTCCCAGGGAATAGTCTGGGAATATGGATGACAGCCTTCAATTGCAAAGCACCTACTGTGTGTGAGGCACCGGGCAAGTTTCGTTGCCTTGGCCATAACCTTCCATCGCATTTGCCCTCTGACTTGCAGGGCGATATTATCTTCATCTTCATTTTAAGCCTCTGGAAAGTGAGACTCAAAGAGTTAAAGGAACCTTAGGGCCAAGGCTGTAGGGAGTGTGCAGCCGGGTAGGAAGCTCTATTCAACTTTGAAGGCATTTCTCTAAGCCAATTTACTACAACGCCTGTCAAGACATCAGGAATGTTAAGAGGCTTCCCTCCATTGCCTCTTGGTGGCCAAAGGCACCCAAGCTTTTCTGATGCCAGTGGAGACTTCCCAGTTCTTGCCCTGGTAAAGCTGGTCCCTCTCTCCCCAGACTGCTGTTTCCCCCAGGCTTTCTGGTCCCTGGCCGCAGGATGTAGGATCTGGTTCTACTGTACGTACAAGCTCCCACTGGAGCTGTAGGGATAACAAGTCCCAGAAGTGCAGGGAATTGACATCCGTGGGGTGTACCTTGGCCAATGGGAAACAGAAGGCAGGAGGGAGCTGGGCAGGTGAATTCTGCCACCTTTGTCTCTCCGATTTTGGCCTGCAGGCATTGTTTCTCTTTGCAGCCCATCTGGAGAAGTCCCACTGCCAAGCAAACGACTGTCTCTCGATGCCTAGGTGTGAACTCACCATCGCTTCACATTTGCTTCCTGTCTGTCCTGTCTCACTTCCCTTTTGTCAGTTTCCTTTTAGGCCAGGGAAGGTCTCTGGTGGGACAGGGGGCACGGCCGGGGTACACAGGGTCCTGGAGTGCGGCAGAGAAAGGAAGTGGTCTAAAGAGCCGTAGGGTGCGTCAGGGTCAAAAACAAGAGTTGTATTATTTTTATTTTTTGCTAAGTGACTCTAGGCACTGGGGGACTTTGGGGACTGTGTAACTTTGGATATTGGGAGGGTTTTGTTTTGTCTGTTTTTGAGACAGATCCTCACTCTGTTGCTCAGGCTGGAGTGCAGTGGTGCAATCTCGGCTCACTGCAACCTCTGCCTCCAGGGTTCAAGCAGTTCTCTGCCTCAGCCTCCTGAGTAGCTGAGATTACAGGCACCTGCCACCGTGCCCTAATTTTTTTGTATTTTTGGTAAAGACAGGGTTTCACCATCTTGGCCAGGTTGGTCTTGAACTCCTAACCTCATGGTCCACCCATCTCGTCTTTCCAAAGTGCTGGGATTATAGGCAGAGCCACCACGCCTTGCAGATACTGGGATTTTTACTGGTCAAGAGCGAATGGTCAAATTCTCACACCTGAGCTGCACACCAATAAGGCACAGTGAAGTGGATGTCCTGTCCTTTGGGACTCCAGGCCAGTTCCTCTCTGGGTTGTCCTGCCTAGGACTGAGCCCTGACTCAAGATG